GTTTTTTGAACTGAACATAACGACTTATGCACCCGACAATACATTGACTTGACTGAATAAAATACAGTCAGCACACAACATAGCACTTCAATAACTGAGCACATTAGGATTTCCACCCAGCATTTTGTATCTCGGACTCAACAGAAAGACATTTAACTAGGTATATCATTCAATCTTAACATAAGACAGTCCAGGCGTTCCATATGTTTGAGTCATGCGCTCTTGTTATATTGAAATTTATTGATTCGATGGCCTCAGTCGCATATTCAAGTAACTATGCCGGAAAAACGGCGTATAGACATCGGTGCTAATCTTGGTTGTCGCCCTTTCTAAGAAACGGACAGTTGTCAATGTAAACAAATACAGTATAATCTACCTGTCATTCAGTTTAACACTCCGATTAACTTACAAAACTAGATAACACAAAATTAATAATGAGAAAATGTTTTTTATTTATGTTAATGTTGGATAAATGCTCTTTATATTTCTTTGATAGAATAATGCTTAGTGCCTGATTTTTTTATAAACTTGTTTGCATGAAAAAAAAAACCGATTCTGATGTCACTGATCTTTTTTCTACCGTCAATCTGAAATCATTCTAAGAATTTCTGAGGGTCATGTTTTGTCTTGGGTAGAGGGTAGAGTAATGTAACGTTTTTTTTCTTGAGATAATAAATCTCCAAAGGCCAAGCTTTGTTAAATTAATTAAAATTCAAAATTTCGTTCGGTTCCGAGAATTTTCAAAGTTGTTGGCCCCGGAAAAATGAAACGCATACGTAAAACATAGAATTGGATAAATACCGTCCAAGCACAAGACTTTAATGTAATTGTGTTTTGTATAAACTATACATCACGAATCTGTTTGAAAATTTTATGCTATAATAGCGTCAACGCACGTTTATTTCGTGTTATAACGTCTGCAGAGTCCCTCGGAACTATTGGAGCCCTCGCCCTACCGGGCTCGGGCACCAACCATTCCTCGGGACTCTGCAGACGTTATAACACGGAAAAACGTGCGTTAACCCTATAATAAAAGATTGTATGTTATATTTGTCGATATGATGAAATGCTTTGACTCTGTTTATAGAAATGGCCTTTGGTTTAAATTGTACAATTGCGGAATTCAAGGGAAGTTACTCAGTATAATACGTGATATGTATCAAAAAGTAAAATCTTGTGTCGTGTTCTAGCTATTCTGATTATTTTCTGTATGCTGTAGGTCTTCGTCAAGGGGGAGTTATGTCCCCTCTTTTATTTTCTCTTTTTGTTGAAGACCTTGAATTATATCTTCAGTCTGAAACTGAAGCAGGTCTTACTTTAGATGACATAGTTTTAATTCTTTTATTATTTGCTGACGATATGGCTATCATAGGTAAAAACCCAGATGAAATACAAACTCTTTTGAATCTCTTATTGTCTTATTGTAATACTTGGGGCCTTAAAGTTAATACCTCAAATACAAAAATTATGGTATTTCGAAAAAGGGGTGCACTTTTAGCATCTGAGCATTGGACCTATGATGGCCAAGAAATCGAAGCTGTTAATGATTTCAATTATCTAGGTACTATTTTTAACTATAACTGGTAAATTTATTCTATAATCAAGAACATTTAATTGGAAAAGCTTTAAAATCAATGAACATACTGTTATGTAAATGTAAAGAGTTTGATCTTAGTCCAAAAACATTATGTCAGTTGTTTGATGCCTTCGTTTCACCAATATTAAATTATTCATGTGAAATTTCGGGTTATTCTAAATCTAAGGAAATTGAAAGAATACATTTAAAATTTTGTAAAAGGTTGTTAAAAGTTAGATTAAATACATGTAATACTAGTGTATATGGGGAACTTGGAAGATATCCATTATATATTCATAGATATGTAAGAATTATTAAATTCTGGTTAAAACTTGTAAATACAGACAATATAATGTTAAAAACAGTTTATACTTAAGCACTTGAAGATAGCAATAAAGGGCAGACAAATTGGGTTTCTAATGTTAAAAATATTTTAAATAACTATGGATTTTCATACATTTTTGATAATTGTAACAACATAGACAAGGTTATGTTTTTATCAGAATTTAAATGTCGCCTTATTAATTCCTTCAAGCAAGAATGGTCCAGTAATCTTGAAAAAGTCCTGTTTTATGTATATATAGAAATGTTAAATCTTGTTTTGAATATGAATGTTATCTTAATATACTACCTAGGTGTTTTAGATTTTATTTTTTGTAGATTAAGAATGAATGGTCTTCCGCTTAGAATTCAAACAGGTAGATTTAGTAGAAATAGGATTCCTCGCGAAGAAAGAAATTGTTTGTGTTGCAATAATCTAGATATTGAGATGAATACCATTTTATTTGTATATGTAAATGCTATGACGTTATAAGAAAAAACACACTTAAAAAACTTACTATTACAGAAATCCATCAGTATACAAATTTACTCAATTGTTAAACTCAAAAATAAAATGAGCTTGTACGTTTATCAAAATTTGTTTAATGAAGCTCTTTCCATTAGGTATACACTTTTAACTAATAATGTCTGAATGAATCAATGTTCATTCTCCAAATGATTTGTTTTTTTCCATGCCAAAAATATTCATAATTAATCTTATTTATTTATAAAAAATACAGAAAATGCACATCTTTTTTCATAGCTATATGCATGTTCTTTGTTTTTTTATTAGTTTACCTACTTATATTTTATTATTAAACTATTGAATACGTAAAATGTGATATCCAGATTTTGTTTGTAAATTTTCATGCAGCTAAAATATATGTGAATATAATGTATTGTAGATGATGTACTTTGTACAAGTCTTAATAAAATTTCTGTTCTGTTCTGTTCTGTTCTTAAGTACCAGTACCAGTACTTGGCAAATTATGCAGTACCATTACCAGTACCAGTACTAGATTTTAGCTCGGTACTGCAGTACCAGTACTTTTTTTGGTGAAGTAATTAAGTATCAGTACCATTACTTTTATATATATTCATCAAAGTTTGAATAAATACAGTGTCAAACAAATAATTGCAAATATTATTCAGCAAAGAAATAAAATCATAATTTACTTTAAAGCTGCATGCCTCCAGATGACCAAAAATATTTCAAGAAAATTAAACTTGGAAAAAAATTACTAAAACTTTGAGAAAAGTAGACAGATTAAAGATTCAAGTGATAATTAAAATATATCTTATGTGCAATTAATGGCTGTATTTTGTAGTATTTATCACCATATATCTACTGCGTTACTAACGCAGTAGGGCCTATTTATGCATGTTTGCCGATTGTAATGTGTGAAGTACTTTCTTTGTTCATTTAACAATATTTTACCTTTAAATACATTTTCAAAATTAGAATGAATCTGGAGGCGTGCTGCTTTAAAGTTAACATAACATATTTACAACTTTATAGTTTTAACATACTTTTTACAAACAATATTTACAACATATATTTATGTCATATCTAATTGTTTAGTAACCAGTCAACTGTATAAATACAATGCAAAATCTTTCATTTAAAACACAACAATCTTTTGTTGCCTTTCACACCTTCACACCTCTGTTCAATTTATACCAAAGTAAATAACAACTTTTTATGGTGCTAACAATATCACTTTTTTCACTTGAAATGGGATTTTTTAGAATAAAAAAGAAAATAATTAGTTTTTATTTTTCTCTTTTACTAGTAAATACAAAATAATAAAAGATTTTAATAAGGATATTTTAGGGTAAAGAGTTATTGAGTCTGTTTATCTTAATTTAATTTTTACTTTAAGTCTTTGGTGCTTTTTATGATGAATACTATGTTAACATTTGAAGGAATATTGCAGCAAATTATCTTTAGATTTGATAACTTACTTTTTCATAAATATAAAATATTGTTAATGTAATTTACAGCTTTAATTTATGAGAAAAAATGATGTTATTTTAAATTTTTTATCAAAACCAAAAGTACTGGGTAATGCAGTAGCAGTACCACTTTTTAAGACAGTAATACAGTACCAGTACCAGTAGTAGCAAAATTGTGTAAGAGTAATTCAGTATAAGTACCAGTACTTGCAAAATCGCTGCAGTACATACTGCAGTACCAGTTATGCAGCTCTGATTATTTTCGCTGTCGATATTAAATTTTGTATTTATCTGTTCTTTTTGCACTCTTTTGTCCCTAAGGTATAAAATTATTTAACAAAATTAATCATAAGAAAAAATGGTTTTACGCTATTCCTCTTGAATAATTATTTAATCATTTTTTAAAAATATTTCTTGTTATCCCTGATTTCGGTGGGAGAACGTATATCAAATAGGAATAGCCGCATATACATGTAGTCCATAACCAGTTTTTCTTTTGCAGTTATAACACCGTTGTGTATAGTGGCAGAATCGCAAGGAATGATATAATATATTCTTAGAATGATGTATGCCGATTACTATTTACTTTTTGTATTGAAGGAGAACTGACTTATGACGGAGTGTATTTCTGACAATATAACCATTAATTTAATAATACGATAATGTTATTTTTATCCACATTCAAATAAAGTCTGGCTAGATTGAATATTATATTTTAAATTTTCCCTGTGAAAATAGAACATGATAAACACGATCAACAAGGAAAGGCGGCGTTCAATGAAGTTTATGATCAACTGCAAAGCATGAAAAAGATAAATCAAAGTGCTGAATGCACTGGATGTAAAAGATAAAAATGCAATGAACATAGAATGTTTAAATCAACTGTAACGAACTTATTGTGTACAAAATAAATTATTCTATTTGTATGAGGTGTTTAAATTTGGGTTAAGACCCACAAACATTCACACAATTAATGTGATGCGGCGTTATGAACCACTTTTAGATCTTTCTCTTGTTATGAAAATCGTTTCTTTTTGTGAAACCAAGGCCGATTAACAAAGTTTGTTTAAGTGTTGTATTCTTTCTTTTTCATATCTATATGAATTAAATAACAGATAAAAAGTTTATAAAAATTGATTTGTTTTACCTCGAGTTGTCGTAGCTGTAGTGCGTGTTGTCGTTGTTGAGAAGAAATCTAAAAAAAAATGAAGAAGTGCATAAAACGCTAAATTATGCGCAAGAAATTTTAAAGACCAGTAATGAAAAAGGGTGCTTGATTTTGTTGTTGTAATTGTTGACAGTTCAGCTGTAGGATTTAAATTTGTTGTAAAAAGTTTTAAAAATAGTAACGATACATTCACTTTCCTTTGGAATATTTGCTTTTAATATTTTTTTCAAATAAATTAATATTCTTTTCTTAAAAACACTTATAAAACGATTTTTGCAAAATTTCTGTCGAACAATCTTCATTATTTATAAATATAAACAATCCTTAATATATATTGGACAACATCTTAATAAAAAAGAAGGTGTGTTGTAAATCTTAAAACAATTCATTAAACAAAAATAAACTAATAAATACCTCGGCATGATCCTAATTGAGATTTTAATATTTCCCATGGCAAATTTGTACAAATCGCATCTAAGCCTGTTTGGCAGCATGCCTCTGTAAGTTTTTCAAATCCAACAAGACACGTAAGGAAGCATGCAGCAAACTGTTCCAGGGACAACCATGCTGTAATATTAACATTAGCTGTCAATACGACTTGAAAACCGTCCATATTTTTATCTTATTCTATGTCTCCTTTTAGTTTTGTCAGGAATCTATCAACTACCGCATAAATGTCTTCTCGATCGATCGGTCAACTTAGTTTCGAAACATTAACAATAAGTCATATGACTGGGTAGGCTCGGTTTGATTGAGCCTGTTCATGGACGGTACTGCCACGTGCAAGCTACCGTCTACGCCCCTAGCACCCGCGGAAGCAGTATTCAAAATTTAAACATGAAATGGTATGATTTTAAATCTAGAAACATTCAGATGTGGTTATACAGTGGTTATCATGGAACATCCAATTTGACTTGTAAGTGCAATTCCATATAAAACGGCGTATGGTCCTCGAGTAGAAGAATGCATGTCCCCTAATCGGGTTAACAAATGGCGGAACTAAACAAAATGGAATTTTGTAAAGGGACGTCATTCTCTTCAGAATGAAAACAACCTTATCCGGTGCTTAAGAAGGTACGTCACTAGCACTGAACTATAAGGCTCAATACTTTAGCATTATATGTTAACAAAATCAATTCGAGAAAAATGTGTTAATTAATGGGCCCGACTTTTAAGATAATATTCATTTCCTTGTCTGCCTTGAAAAATCTAAACATATACCTGAAGTGGTCGGACTGTTTGATAATCCTGAAGAAAGAAAACAATACAATAAGGAACTATATTCGGTGGAATTTTTAAACCATAACTGTTGCATGTGTATAACATGTAAAACAAAAAAGACTATAACAATTTGCAGACTGTAATAAAGAAAATGTTGCAAACTTTCAACAGGCATATTATACTATATTATATCATTTATTAATTCAGTTTCTACTAATTTTAGGTAATCAAAATTAATGAAATTTAATGGTATATCAATATTATCATAATTTGACAAGAAAAATCACATTACAACATAAAACACGACTTAAGCGATATATATAATCATTAACATAAACAGAAAAGATGAAAAAAAAAAAAAAACGTACCTGTACAGGACCCTAGCTTGGGTTTCAAAATATCCCATGGAAGATTTGAACAGACCACATTGAGACCTGATTTACAACAAGTTTCCAAGAGTTTTCCATATGTTGGTGTGCAAGTTAGGTAACATGATGCAAACTGCTCTAATGAAATATTTGCTGAAATAGATATACAAGAGTTAAAATACTTTAACATTATTTATATTTTGACGTTATAAAAAGTCGAGTCACAGCGAAATACATGGAAATAGATAATTAAGAAAATATCTTTCAACAGAATATCTCTCGCAGTTTTTATTATGATACTGTAAAAACCGTTGAAAGTTGTAGTAATATCAAAGAAATATCAGGTTTATTATTGTTTTAAAAAAGTTTGCTGTATGAATTGTAATCTGCTTTGTCTTAAATGTTGAATTGTTTTAATGAAGTTTCGCATTATGCAGTGCTGTCCATGAACAGGCGCAATCCAAACCGAGCATTTAGCATTTTCAATTTAACCGTTTTTGACGTAAAGGTTCTTTATGGATTTATTTTTCTTTATCTGAAGTTATTGCTGATGGATTTGAAAACATTATAGACTGATAGATACAACAATACGTGTTTAAATAGTATGACTTTGTTCATAAAAATAAAGTTTAAAAAATCTAAATGATTATGTAATTGATTGCTATTATTTATCACTTAGAAATGGAAGAAAAGTGTGTTTTGAAGAAATATATAAAGAAGTAACTTGCAAGGTACAGCATATCCATCCAGCAGAAATCGTTTGTTAGCTGACAAGGAGTCATCTGCAATATAATAATTGTTTAGTGTCATGCTGTGCTAAAGTGTCCAATATGTGCATTTATTTGAAAATCAGTATTCCTAAGTATGTCAATCTTTAGCAGACATGTGTGTATTATGTCAACATAGATTACACATTTTTAGTGACAATATGCTAATTTATATTTACATTGCTGTCTTATTTAATTGAATTACAAATTTATTTCAAGAGGTTGATAATAATTTTGATTGGCCAAATACTGATAATATTACTATTTTATAACTTCTGTGAAAACAATTATGGCAAGATGTAAGGTTTCTTTGATTTTATCATTTATACTAGAACAGGAATAATGGAGCATTAAGTAAATGTAGTTCAGTATAAATTGAAATATCTGATTTTCGCACAATTTTACAATTATTTTTTTTAAAATATAGTTTAACACGTTTAAAAGATTCACAAGTTTAACAGCAGGCTAACATTTCAGGGATACATACATATACAGTGTATAATCAATATTTGATAAATTGATTACTAACTTAACAAAAGTTCTAACCGATCACTTTTTAAATTATAATTATTTTATAACGGGTCAATAGATCCTTATAAAATTTTGCAGAGGGGATTTTTGTGTCATTTTCTACCGATCTGTGGAATGAAAAATAATTTAATACGGTTCCATGCACTCACGCGGGAGGCAGGGTGCGGTTTACACATTTTGGCACGAAATGTTCGTGCAGAGCGTGGTGAGTATTAAATTTTACATTGCATAAATCCTTGTTAACCTTATGAGTGAAAAAACATAAAACATGGCACGAATGTCGATGCAGGATCGTGCCGTAGCAGTTGGAATGTTGAATGCTGGAGCCTCTATCAGACAGGTGAGTGGCTGTTCATAAAAATATTTTTTTTTAAATATCGATAAAGTATTATTTAAATAGAAAAATGTTATAATTTTATTATTCTCAATGTGTTCATTCTCTTCGAAATAAAAGAAAAGTCGGATCTATTGGTATTATTCTTTTTCATATATAAGCGAAAACTCAGGGTGATCGGTTAGAATTTTTGTTCAGTGTATACATTAAACGATTTTGTTTCTATATGTTTCCAGTACATTTTTCATAAAATTGAACACCTATCTTAACCTTTAGATCCAGAAGTATCGCATGCATAAGTTGCTAGTAGTGTCACAAACACAAGTAAACCTTAAAAAGAAAATGATATACGTCTAAACCTTAAAAAAGACATTTGTATACGTCAATGCATGATATACTTATACAAATGAAATTATTTTAGACATTACACAAAGCACACTATGTTAATTATTCTATGTGATTTCGAAAGAGTAATAAAAATACATGTTTATCAATATGAAATGATTCTTTTGCCACTTTGGAGAAGAGCAAGCTGCATGTTTGACCTATTAGTATCATTATCAAAATCTGAAAAGAGGGTGATCTTTTGGAAGTATTATTCAAAGCAAAATTACATGAAAATTACAGACTGGCATCATCCCTCACATTCGCTTGCACCAGTACTCAATTTCATATTTCAACATTTAAAAGTGTTGGAATTAATGATCCTGGAGGTGAAGAAAATGTAACAACACCAAAAATGTATGAGTGAATATAAAATAAAGTATTTAAATTACCTGCGCTCTCTTTAAGCATTATTATCTTTCTGAAAGACCTACTAACAACATGTATAACAATTGTTTATCTAGGACAAACGCTATAATCGTAAGAAATTAGACACGAACTGCTGATAACTCTATCAGTTAATTATCAGCTCAAGGATTTGCTGAAAGTGCTAAAAGTTTACAAAAAGCACCTTTTGAACCTTTACATAAAGCTCCATTGAAGGTTATAACATACAAAACTGTATTTTTGTTTGCAATAACTACTTTCAGGAGATGTAGTCTCTTAAATTATGAGAAGGTTCAGTAAACATTCAACAGAAAGGTATCACCTTTATTCGTCATGGTTTAGCTAAACAGGACAGACCATCACATTTCGGAGCAACTATTTTCATACCATCTTTTCTAGAAAATAAGAAATCGGATCTAAAATATGTTTATTTTAAAATTTGACAGCAACTGAAAAATATAGAAAGTCTGGGACTGGTGAAGATGAAACAAAACTATTCCTTGGGTTTAATGAGCCACATAAACCAGCTAGTTCTCAAACGTTATCAAACTGGATTGTTCAGACATTAAAGTTAACACTTCAAGATGATAAGGTTAAAGTTAAAGCTCATAGTACCAGAGCTAATGGTCCATCTTTTGTTTTGTTCAAGGGTGCATCAATAGAATCAATTTTAGCTTCAGCAGACTGGAGTAGAGAGACTACTTTTACACGTTTTTATCTAAGAAATGTAAATAGTACTTCAGCAGTGTTGAAAACTTGAAATAAGGTTTTTGAACTAAAATTAAATTTTAACTTTTAGCAAGTCGCTATATCAACTTATTGACGGATTTTTCATATTTTATGGCACTCGATAAGTGCATTGGTATATACATATATTCATATATTGTGTACATTAGTGAAGATAGTGTTCTGAGAATATAAGTGGACATAGTGTTTTTCTGTACATTTATACATGAAGAAACAGTATTGACAGTGTTGTTCTGTACATTTATACAAGAGGAAACAGATATTCTGTACATAGTGGAGAATAAAGAATGGACATTTTCATGTACATAATGGGAACAGATACATATTTGTTGCATAAAGACTTTTGTCAGTAGATATTACCCTACACCACCATCAGAGGTGAGTATTGCTTTAAAATCAATCCTACACAATCCTACACGTATATTTATGACTGGTAAGTTTAACGAGTGAAATAAAATTGAAAAATTTGTAATCAAGTTAAAATTTTATGAATAAGTTAAACTTACCTGTCATACTAGTTTCCCACCACCACCGCTTGGTAATATTTGGATGGTGCAATTGTTTTCACTTAATCAGTAAAACTGAGGAGCACATTATATAATCTACTAAGTCATAATCATCAATAAATGGAGGTGTAGGGGAGGAGATGGTACAGTTTTTCTAAGTAAATTTTAATTTAGCTACAATGCTTATTCTGCATCACCTTCTCGCAGAAGGATGGCAAATGTTATCAACAATTTGTGATACGCTTAGAACAAAGAAATCATGCACTGATCACGCGCTGGTGTCATAAGAGTTACACAGCGTGAAAGGTACTAACTAAATAGTGTTGCCGACCACTAAATACCCTCCTTCCACCTAAAAGATTAACAAGTCCAACTTCTCAATCCAAAAGAAATTATCCTAGATGAAAGTAACATTTTTTTGGTTCTACATAAACAGTCTAAATATAAATGAAAATAAAGTTGTGAATAATAAGTTGTTCTGCTTATATCAAATATTGTGATAAAAAGAATCTGACATTAGAAGACATTTTAGATATTTTGTTAAGAAACGAGTTTAGAAAAATACTCCTGAATTCGTTTCTTTAAAGTGATATTTTTAAAGGAATCGGGCGGATTCTGGAGTAATCTGCACTTTCATGAAGATTGCTTATATTAGTATATTTTAGGTGTGATTTTGGCTGGGTTGGGGTAAATATGAATTGCTGTCAGTCATTTTTTTAAGGAGCAATGTATGAAAACTATTATTTTCTTCAATTTATGTAATATATTATTGAATAATGTTGTGCAATTGGTTATCTGCTTGTTAAATAGATTTTGAAATATTTGGAATTTTGTTTCTGGCCACACTGAAATACAAAATTGTTCATTTTGTACTCTAAAGGAAATTTTCAAATCCATAAAATGTGTTGGCATTGACCCAAATGTGCCCAGAAACATTCCTTCTGTATTTGTTAGTCACAATTAAAAGTAACTGGTAGGATTTATCAAGTTGTGTAAAGTAGGTAGACTGTCAAGTCAAGGGAGGTTATAAAAATTTGGAATTTTGGCAAGAATGTGCACATTTATCCAGATTAAACAGTTTTATATTGTGCGAATGAACATAATAATGCATAATTGAGCACTTTCAATTGTTACAAGTGTATAATGTCATACAAGTCAACATTGGTATCTTTATTGCACTTTTAGGTGTATGCCCAAATAAATGAGGTCTGGTTTGCTGTAACATTCATTTTAGGACATTAAATGTGGCTGTTATCTTGTTTTTCTTGCTATAATCTCCTTCAAAAAGAGTTTACTTACTCTGAAAATACTATCTGGTATTTAAATGAAGGTGCAGTACAGAAAAATGACCATCTCATAGGTTCTTGGCACTTGATGATAAGTAAATCATAAACAACATGTAACAGGCATGGTCATTGTACTAGTTACTTCCCCTGTATAGGGTCTTTTTTAAATCTTTGATTAAATACAAAGTAACCGCAGTACACTCTTTTGGAAGTTAACGTTTAATGCGAAAGACTCCGTATTTTAAGAATATAACAGGAAACGATTTAATGAAGACCATATAAAAAAACTTAAGGGGGCAGGGGACATATCCGAATGATGGCCCCTGTCAATTTTTTTAAAAACTCAGACATGGTGTTTTGAAGGTACTGGGAACTTCTGATATTTCTCTGTAATTATAATTCTTTCTTGTTTGTGTGTAGAAATGAGAAGTATTTTTGGGTTTTTACCCGAAACTAAGCATTATGGTAGCTTGTATGTATTTGTGACTCTCCGAATGGAGGTGAAAAAGTTAAAAATCAAGCTTTGACAGTTGGCGCCATACAAGTAAGAAATTTCGAATAAATTTTGTGAAAAATCTCAACGTATAACAGACACTTTATTGGTCATTTTTGAAAATGCCATTGCTTGCACTGTGCGTTAATGATATTTTAGATATTTTAGACATTTTAGATATTTTGTTAAGAAACGAGTTTAGAAAAATACTCCTGAATTCGTTTCATTAAAGTGATATTTTTAAAGGAATCGGGCGGATTCTGGAGTATGCTGCACCTTCATGAATATTGCCTAATATATTGATATATTTAGGTGCGATTTTGGCTTGAAAGGGGGGGGGGGGAATATGAATTGCTGTCAGTCATGTTTTTAAGGCGCAATGCGTGCAAACTATCATTTTCTTCAATCTATGTCATATATCATTGAATAATGTTGTGAAACAGATTTTGAAATATTTGGAATTGTGTTTCTGGCCACACTAAAATACAAAATTGTTCATTTTTAGGTCGCCTGCCCCCTTATATACTTTTATTATGTACCTATTCAACTGTACAGTGATGCGGAAATAAATTACAAAGTGTTTTCTTCCGCCTATTACTTTCATATAATGGTTGTTCCTTCGTTTTATCATTTCTTTTGAATGATTTTTTTTCTAAATGATGTTTAATTGACGTTATGAAGTGCGTTTAAATCAATTTGTAAAATCTATGGCATCAATCATCTTTCTTCATCATCATCATCATCATCATCATCATCATCATCATCATCATCATCATCATCATCATCATCATCATCATCATCATCATCATTATCATCATCATCATCTTCTTCTTCTTCATAATCATCATAAACATCATAATCATAATCATCATCAACATTATCATCATCATCATCATCATCATCATCAACATCATTATAATCATCACCATAATTATCAATATCATCATCACCATCATCATCATTATTATCATTATTATTATAATCATCATCATCATTATCATAATAATCATCATCAACATCATCAACATTGGCATGAAAATCAGCTTGAACATCAGTTTCATCATCACCGTTATTATCATCATCAACGAAATCATCATCATCAGCATCAGCAAGAGTATCATCATCTTTTTTTTCCTTTCGTTCCTTTTTCATCACAGCCATCATCAATGGGTGCTTTATTTCGTTTTGTAAAATACGGTATATTTCATTTAGAGAATTGTTTGTCGTCGTCATCATAATCATCATCATTTTACTCACCGTCATTGTCATAATAACCGTTTATATCAATTTAATATTTAATATTAGTTGTTCTATATTTTTTTATTCGTGTTATTTTAATATCAAAACAAAGTGTAACGGAAACTGCCGCACTATGACGGGAACTGACGAAATAGTTATGCTGAAGGTTTTTATTTGTCTTAATTTTTTTCTTTCTTTGTTTTTCTTTTCTTTTGTCTTTTTCATTATTTAATTATTTTCATGAACCTTATTATCCCGGTCAACATCGTTGTCTAACATTATAGCATTTGTAATGATATCTGCTGTAAGAAAGAAGGAACTTTTAATTGGTTTATTATTAATCAGATTTAACTGTATGTAATGAATAAGGGTCAAAGTCAAAGGCTTTAACTTTTCGACTCCGACTCTCATGGGAATGAATGCAATCCTTGTACTTGGTAAGGCACAGCTAACATAGTTTTATTCATTTACGATGGGTACAGTTTTGTCTATGTTAAGAAGAAGTTACTGGAAAAAGAATGGAGCATCAGTCACTGATACAGTCAGGAAAATAGTAGCTCCTCGTACATGAATGTTTACGTCTTAGATATGACCTAAGAAAATAGTTCAAAATATCAGATAAACTGATCTCAACCCAAATCAACTGGGTAGACAACTGTTCAACGCGTCGACAGCCGTACTATTATATAGATGTCGGTATAAAAACACGTTGACGGACGGTAAGTATTCCTCTATTTTGGTACATATCCCAACTGTTTTCGAGTAAATCAATGTTATGAATTCATAGTCAACACCTATAGGAGGCTGCTTACAAATTTCATACCGCATCTCATCGGAAAGTGGTTATTTTCAATCAAAATTCACGTAAAGTAAATTTTGTACAGGGCCAGAAATTTGCAAGCAGACTCCTCTAGCTGTTTGACTTTGAATCCATAACTTTGATTTACTTATTACAGTTGGAATCTGACAAAAATAGACAAATACTTACAGCCCGTTAATTTTGTTTTTATACCGACTAGTATACTGTATACAACTACGGCTGTCGACGCATTGAGCCGTTGTCTACCCAGTTAATTGTACGGTGTGCAAAATATACGTTCCCGTCAGTGAATTATAACACAGTGTTTATCTGGTACATTCATTTTTCACGCAAGATTATTTAATGACCAATCAAAATTAAAAGTTTCATTCTTTTTTATTTCAATTAGTCCAATTATCAAATCAGATGTCACGTTACATCCAGCGATAAATAGATTGTCCAATCAGATTACATGGTAGGAAAGCTTGCTTGTGAGGCGATTCCGCATTGGTTGTCCTTGTTTCTTGACATCATGATGTAACCTTCCTTGCCCCAGCTTGTTCCCCAACTAAAAGGGAAATAAAAGAAAGCTTTACTCATTGTAGCTTATAATTTCCTTGTTGTCGTTTGAATGAAAGAAAAGGAAACTTTTTTTTCGCTCCATAAAAATTACATGGATTAACTCTATGGAATAAGTGGACATGTGGTTACAGAACCTTCCTTTCGACCAAGGGGTCGTTGGTTCGAGCCATATTTGGGCCGCGATGATGACTTTCTGCACTTGATAGAGGTTCAGAATTCTTCAAAACCTCCACAAATGGGCATATATAAGACATGTTGAAAATAAATAATACATTCAGAAATTATTTAATTTTTAAGTACTCTATTTTTAAAGTACTCTTAACAATCTGTATACTTTGGTATAAAAGATGAGTCTCTTTTTAAAGTTAACAGTAAAATAATTTAGTTTATACGAATCTGTTTTAGTTCGTTTGTGTTGGAAGCTATTTACTTATTAAAAAAACTCTTGACTCCGTTCGTAGAACCAATCAGTGTAAAGTTTCTTGCTGACAGATGCAACACATTGCCTTTGGCAGGATTTGAACCCACGTGACCAGCAATCCTTAGATTATAAGTCCGACGTGATAACAACCTGGCCAAGCTGCCAGTCGCCACAAGTTAATTAGCTCACCTGTTCTTTACGAGCCAGTATTCCCTCAAGAAATCTTTACCATAACCTACAGCAAGAACTCCGTGATCAAGATTCTTCGATGAACATCTTCTTTCACTATATACCCCTGATCTAAAAAAAGACATGGCGTTATTTGACAATTCCCAGTTGCCATGACAATTAATATTCCCGCTTGATGAATAGTAAACTTTTTTTTTCAGTTCAAACTTGCAATATTGACATGTTATCAACCGGAATGTAATACAAAAAGCAACAACAACAACAACAACAAAACACCCCACAAAACAACTTTTATCTAATTATTTAGAAAAGTATTTAGAACGTCTATTAAAGAGAGTAAAGTTCGTTATAAAGATGTTGACTATTCAAGAAATTTTAGACGGATGTTCCACTCAGAAACGCAAGCAGTTCACCAAAGTCGAAATGGTCGAAGACCAACCACTATCGTGTTCTAATGTTGTTTGAAATGCAAACAGTTAAGTACATATGAAGCGTTTACATAGTCATATTACCAACAGATTCAAGCCGGGTACCTGTATAATTGGAAAGATGGATGGCTAGCATCAATGCCTATAGCGATTGGTCCTACTGTTGCTACAGCAGCTTGTAAATCGTCTTCTGATCCAATTTTAATATCCATGCAGCTTGTTTCTGTTGCGCCAATGTCCTCTTTTTTGAACTCACAATCTCCGTTCTAAAAATTGAACCATAATCATACTTATTTTTTTAATTAATGTATTGCAATCAATTTATCCCTATCATGGTGATTATTTTTATCATTATAATTATCATTGATATAGTTATAATAATTATCTTATCAGGAATATGACCACTCTTGTCCCTACTGTTTACAGTATTCATTGAGATGAATTGAATTGAATTGAATGTAGATAATTCATTAATTATAACAAGAAATGTCTGCAGTAAACGTGAGGCCTTTTATCAACTATAAATGATCTCTTTAAAGTCGTTTAGAATATGAAAGACGTGCCGATATGTATGCTTCCGATACTTTGTTACTTTAGGTATGACCATGAAAACGGGCACTATAAAGAGCTGGAAAAAAATGACAAAATAGTGTTAATATTTATATATAAACAAGCTTTTACCTTTGGCTTGTATGGGTAAGATTTCTCTGTGTCAATCCCATCATTTTTGATGACGTATGCAAAAGCTTGATCCATTAAACCTCCTTCACAACCCTTGTTACCTGAGAATAAAAAAAATGATAACAGGAACACGAAAACAGGAGCAGATAGAACACTTCCATTGTATGCCTTTTTAATTAAACTTACATTTTTCATTAGAACAACTTCAATTACAAAGAAAAACCACGAAAATAATAAAAAACAAGAAAAGGAAAGCAATAGTAACAACAGACCCCACCCCCCTTCCCAGCTAAGAATTTTAAAAAAAGAACTGAACCCACACCCCTCACAAAAATCTACAAAAACAACAACAACATCAAAAACAACAAAAACAAACAAAAAACAACAACAAAAAACCACAACAACAACACATAGCATACGTCCTCTGAGCTTGTTATTAATTAGTTTACCACATAAAACAAAAAACAACTGAACTTTTTTCGCACTTCTATAATTCTACTTAATTTTATTCTTTCGAAGAAGTTTCATGTCACTTTAATATAATAACTTACGATACTTAATAACTAAACAATATAAAGATACCTTCCGGTTTGGAACAGTCCATCAGATTCTTCTCAGACAGGGACACCAGTTTGCCGGTCTTCTTGAAGTTTTGTCCCTCGAGGGAGCCGGTGGCTGAGAATGACCAACATGATCCGCATTGTCCCTGGTAAAAATTAAGGGAAGCTTCCATTCAAAACATGATGTGCACATTTAGAGTTATATTTTATTAAAAACTGATATTTAAAATATTGAGGAATATTGATGGAATAAAATGCATATTTTCATTATCCGTATTTTCACTGTAATTTTTTTTCACTGCAGTGAAACATATTTTCCGTATTTTCACTGATGTCTTGGCGGACTTCTTTTTGCCGAAATTCAATCAGTACACAAATGTAAAGATAAGTCTTTAAAATCGTAAGGCCAGAAAAGAGAAATGTATATAATAAACAGATTTTCAATATTATGAATACAGGATTTATTTTCATCAACTGATATGAAAAGAAATACACAACAATTGGTGGTAGTCACAAGCGGACTAAGAAAATTTTCACACCACAAAAGAAAAAAGACTAGTTATTGTTTGATACATATCTACCAACAGGACAATTTTTCAGAACGAACTAAAAATAATGGGATATCCCGATACTTATTCTGATTGAACCAACTAAAACCAATAAAAATAGAGACCTTTATGGCTTTTAACATTCAGTCAATTTGTACCTGATTTTTTACTTCTGTGACGTAACCTTCGTTCCGCCAATCAACTGTGTCTGGTAGAGACGACAAGTCAACGTTCATTGGTGGAGAATATTGACTGCATACACTCTTGGTTAAATTCTGTTTGAACCCGTTCATTACGGAAACAAATTCTGTATTTGTCTAAACAAGAAAAATACACATTAAATGCCTGATTTTTCATCCTAAAACTTCTCTTTATAGGTCATGTACGTATATACATTGTACTTTTGCCCTGAATTTATGTAACCATGTGAAAACGGTATTCGCCGTTTTGAATTATAAGTAGTCAAACTTATCAATAAAAGTTTATATCTATAATTCACTATTGAAACTTAAGAAATGCTCTCCTTGTGGACAAGGTTTCTTGTATCATAATTGCAGCCCGGATATTGAAAATGCGATGTATATCAGCTGAAGATGGCTCACAAAATAGCATTGCAATTAAAGGTATGCTAATAGAAAGGTAACTGAAATGAAAATGTTCAGAATGAGTATTGGATGTTGTTAAATATTTAAGCATTCAAAAGTAATACAAAACTAAAAATGTCTGCCTTAAAAGAACTCCACTAATGTCTCAAAGTCTTTACAAAAATTAGAATTGCTGAGGCACTTAAAACAATAAGACTAACGAAAGATAATTAAGAAATTTACTCAGAAAAAATGAAACTCGTATTCGCAGCCCGATTTCAGTGAAACGCTTCTCAATTTTCGTTCATTTTTCACAATAATTTATTGAAATAAATAATCTCGAAAAACGGAGAGAGCGAATTAACACACGTTACTGGTCTAATCATGATTATATCAAATAGAACAATAATCTTGAAAAATTAGTTCACGTCCAGTCATATAAAAAAACCAGTGCAGTCCCTTAAACGCTTTTATGACAAATAAATAACTTATAAAGTTAATTATCTTGTTAAGAAAGGGATGCCAATATTTAAATGATAATGATCTCACCATGTCACCGTACTCGTTCATACCAAGTCTATATGTATGAAGTCCTCTATCCGCCTCTAGATTGTGACGCTCGATATACTTTATGTTGCTCTCCCAAATTGCCCGTCTGAAATGTGTTGTATTATTTTTGTTAAATTGCTGCTGCCCTGTTACATTTCTGTTATATTACATGTATCATTTGATTTCATTTTCATTTTTCATTAACTATTAAATATCAATATCTTCTTTAAAATTACCGATGATTTGTTTTCTATATTTTTTTTAATTTTTCTTTTTTCCAATACTTCTATCACTAGTAAATCCGTTTAGTTCTTGAACTTAAAATTTCGAGAATTTGAACGTTTTCCAGTATTAACATGTATAAATATAAACATTTAATTGTAAATTAAATTTCTGGGCAAAAACGTAAGAAACATATAGACTCTTCAAAAAGAAAAAAAAAATACAAAAAAAAGGTTAAGCAGAGATTATAGTTTTTTATTACAAGATTTAATCACATTTACATTAATCTCAGAAACGCATAAATGTTTACTTCTTTATACAGGGCAAACATGCACTTTATGACAATTATATAAGTATACCCAAAGCTTTTGAATATTCAAAATAAAAGTCATTCTCAGGCATAATTGGCCTTTAAGACAGGTGCAATATTTGCATACGTAAAACAGTATCCAACAAAAACACAACATAACCTAAATAGCTAAAAAAAATAAAACAAAAGAAATAAGTACGTATTTATTCGAAGAACGGGTATTCAAGTCTTATTGTTAAATATCTAGTTGGGCAGGTACATTCTTTTTTTCATGCAGCCATATAATTAAAATTTGTTTCTGACCGTCTATACCTTGACATTATCTCGAGGTCATTTATCTCGAGGTCATTTATCTCGAGGTCATTTATCTCGAGGTAATTTAAGCATAATACGATTACTTGTATCAATTTGTTTTATTTGCTTTATACTACGTATGAATTGATAACAGATTACTTTAAAACCAATTAAAACAGTGTATAAACTAGGCTTATTCATATGTATATTAACGAAATAAAATATCATCTAGTGATAAAAAAAATCAAAACTACCCAAGGAATGTCCAAAATAAAGAATCAGAAACGTTTATTTAAATAAAAATATACAGACCACAGAGTATCGCCGTCTTTGACCAATCAGACCAAACGCGAACTTTTACATATCAAATTCTAATAGGGGAAATAGCGACAAGACAAGAAACAGTGGCCGTTATCGGTGTTTTCTTAATATATGTTAAGCTAGTGAGACAATGTAAATGTATGTGGTAAATAAAAATTTTACTTTATACCTGAATCCCTCAATCTGCGGCTCATATAATTTGTTGTAAGCAGTTTTGAATGACTCCCATTCACCGTCCAGGAATGTATTGGAGGCCAGAGATATCGCCAAAAGGCAAGCCAATAGAACAGCTCTTAACATCTGTAAATATGCATAAAAATGACTTAAGTGCTATCAACAATGCATCATACACCAATTATCTGCTGAATTTGTGTGTATGTGTGTTTTTTTTAAATATGAACCAAAAAAAAAAGAAGAAAAAAAACAAAAACAAAAACGAGAAATCGCAAAATGGCAAATTTGAGTTGATTGCTAATAGATGGTCGTGGTGACAGCAATCTACCGTATCGGCTTTAAATTATATTATGCTCCAATTTGATATTTGACAAATGCTACACTCTCTTTTTTAAATATAAAATCAACATGTTTTGACTTCATACAATGTAGGTATGCTATATGTTTTAAACACTACACACTATGTTAGGCGATATGATAATATAGTGACATTAAGAAAATGAAAAAAGACTTTTCTTGGCCTGTATTAGGGAAATTGGAACGCAACTTCCCATACTTAGTTTGTACATTCTATTATTCAAGTTAGACATATTCATTAAGAATTTCATATACATGTTTATTTCAATAAAAATTTTTGCGATAAAAATATTTTTCCCAAAGATGAGCATAGTAAATATCAAAACAGAACTCAACATTTCATCTTAAACATGGAGATTAATTATGAAATATTTAAGTTGTGTGAAGTAAATACCTTCATTGCTATCCGAGTAGTAAGAACACAACACTACTGTAATCACAAGCGGTATGGGTTATCTGTTAGTTTTAGTTCAATAGTTTAATCCTTATTTAATACAGCGTGATCGCAGTTTGACTCAGATAGTGGTCACGTGACTTTGTTATCCTTTTGGAAGATTTTTTATCAAATGTCAAGAAGTAGGTATGCATCTTGTAAGTTTTTGTCTGACTAATTGGGAGAGGTTTGTCTCGACAAAGTAATAATAAGTGCAATATGAAACTGATATGCTCATTTTTTTTCATACTGAGCATATTGTGAAAAATGTCCATTTTCATTGTTAAGCCTCCTGTCACATGTTCAAACTGCTATATGAAACTTAGAAAAATGCTTCAATGATGAAACAAATGATACTTGGCACAAATGTTGACTAGAACATGTCCCCTTTAACAGCATGCTAAATATTAATTTCCAAATATAGGCAACGGGGGACGTCTCTAAATTACCAAAAATCACTATTTTGCATTGTTTGTTGTTTCGTTTTTTTGTTGTTTTATATGGGGGGTGGGGATGGGCGGCGCCGAAAAGGTGGTCACTTTTTTATCAAACATTTCTCAAACGAAAACAATGTTTGGGGTCTAAATAGAGCATTCTTTTTCACTGTTTGTGGACTCAAAGGGTGGGGGGTCGAAAATCCGTCAAAACACGTCTGTATGAGGTAAAGGGTTCACTTATATACGTACATGAATATATAGTTAACTTCGTTTTTATTCTAAATTCAGATATTTAATAATAATTCAGCATTTTTCCGATATCGTGACAGCAATAAACTTGTATAAATGTTTCAAAGCCCTTATGCAAAGCGTCCCTTCCCCATTTAGATTGAAGCATGACAGCGAATCGGTGAATTCAACTTTTTTTCTAGGATGTTAATGACTCGATATATGCGAAAAGAGTCGATATCATATGACTTTACAATAAGATTGAGTTGAAACAGATGAGTGGAATGCCGCTTAAGCCGGCGCTGGAGGGTGTTTGAGGATTTGTCTCTATTAAGTATAACCTGTGATGTTAAACCACACAATATTTCACTTGCAACGATATGACTATAACGTTATACCGCATATAACGATATACCCGCTTATAACGATATACCGCTTATAACGATATACCGCTTATAACGAAATACCGCTTATAACAATGCTGTTGCCGTGGTGGTCCAGACTTTTGATTTTCATTTGTTTGCCTCTCGGATATAATGATATCTGGATATTACGATTATATATACTCGGCAGTCCCCTGATTTTACTGTAGTTTTTAGAATTCTGTTACTTTGGAGAAATCTTCAGACTTTTTAAAGTATGTTCTTTTTATTCTATGAATAAACCTGATATATATTATTCATTACAGTCAATCTTTTGAAATAATTATAATAGCCAATTAAGATTAACTTGACAGTGAGCATGGTATATATAGGAGCATATTATCACTTTGATTTTGTTGTTAAAATATACATATTATACATGTTATACCTTTTATAATGTGACGATCATATATACTGGAAGATTTTGAAAATGTACGTCTGGCATTGAAACAAAAAAAACCCATAAATTTCCATCAATTTTTATACCATAAATTGACTTTAATACATATATGTATATTCTTTTAGGTTTCAAATATTGAAAATGTAAAAAAGTGTCAGTGCTTTTGTTGTACAAATACGCTTATTGAAAGGATCGAATAACTGGACGTTTTTATTTGTCATGTTAAATGAGTTGTTAGTTGACAAAAACGATACAGTTTTAATTCGAATGTTTCTATAGAAGAGGACAAAGACAGGATGTTTGTTTAAAGCAAGCAATTATTTCCCTTCACTTTCATTTGTGATATTTTCTTTCTTTCTTTTGGGGTTTAAGTCACATCGACACAGTATAGGTCATATCACGACGTCACAGCTTTACTGGTGGATGAAGAACTCAGGTGCTCTTCCGTGCATTATTTCAAGCACGAACGGGCACCTGAGTAGAAGCAACGTTCCGTAAGCTAGCTGGATATCTTCCTCACATGAAAGAATCCAAAGTCCCTGTCGGATTCGAACCCACAGCTGTGAGGGGCAAGTGGTTTGTTATTTTGAGATATCATGCATTCAACGTGTCATTAATTAATTCGTGATCCCTGAGCCAATCTTCGATGTGGCTTGAAGTAAGAAACTGAAAATGCCGTGCTTTGATAAAATTCAACTACCTTTCAAAACAAAACAAAAGTCGTTGTTTGTTTCTTTTTATTATTTATTTTTCTTAATTGATTTCACGTTCAAAACAATATCATGTGGTCGAGAAGCAAATCAAAATGTAACACAGCACTTTAGCAATAGTAACAACACAAATACTTATTATATAAATCTTGTGATTGTCAACTGCCAAAATAGAAAGCTAATATATTCTTCAGGTATTCATTATTATATAAGTTCTTTGGCAAATGATAATCAGCAATCGGATCAGGGTCTGACAAAATTATATCATTTAGCCAGTCGTAACAAAAAGCAGCTATTTAATTTCATTACACCAAATAGAAAATAATGCACTATTTTTTTTTCTCAAAAACAGATCTATTTCCAGTTATAAAGTTTCAATGTTACTTCAATCAGTCCAATTATCCAATCAGATATCACGTTACTTAAATTGAAATTGAAGTTGACCAATCATATTACATGGTAGGAAAGCTTGCTTGTGTGGCGATTCCGCATTGGTTGTCCTTGTTTCTTGACATCATGATGTAACCTTCCTGTCCCCAACTTTTGCCCCAGCTGCAAAAGTACAAACATGTGTTTAATCAAGATATTGGTCACAACAGAAGCGTAACATCGGCAATTCGAATATTCGAATAACTTATCGCAAAACTAATGATGAATTGCAACCCCTAAATATACAAACATTATTAAACTTATTGATGACGGGAATGCAAAACAAATGGCAAGTTTATTCTAAAAGCGAATCTTTGCAAATGAACAAATTCATACATATACTATTTTGCACCATTGCCCGTTGAACGAGCGAAAAGAAAACCAGAAAACAACAATAAGAAAGAAACAAAATAAAATAACAAAAATAACAAAAATCATAAATGTACTTTACCTGTTCTTAACTAGCCAATAATCATCAGAGCCTTCTGTGCCATATCCAACTGCAAGAACACCATGATCAAGTTTCTTTGATGAACACCTTCTCTCGCTGTAAACACCAGATCTAAAACCCAACACGTAAATGTTAGCAATACATTAATCAAATACAGGCAGCTCTTGATTTCCTTACATAGCATGTGGATATGGAGTGTTTATAACTAAGTTAAGCAATCTTTGTGTTGACAAAAAAAAACATTTGAATTTTCTCCCTTGTATTTTTCTAGTACAAAGATCAGCTATGAATGGAATCATAGAATGTATAAAGTCAACTATATCATACGAAAATTAAAATTATAAGAATGAATTAAAAACTAAATAATATGAGAACATGCCGTATTGAGCAAATATATTTTTTTACGAATTCCTCTAAGATATCACGTCAAATGAAAGTTTAGCCTACACACTATCGTCAAGACTATTTCAGTTTTTATTTTGTTTGTTTGTAAAATCGTATTTATGAATCTGTTCATTTAACGCGAACTCTCTGTTAAGCACAGGCGGATCAATTTATTTAAACTACCATATTTTCAAAACATCTTTTTTATTAAGATATCCTTGTATGTAACTCAAAAGTCTTCATAGAAATACTGTTTTTGTTGTTGTGAATTTAGAAAGTAGAGCAGGAACACATATTACCTGTACATTTGGAATGATGGGTGGCTAGCATCAATTCCTACAGAGATGGGTCCTACTGTTGCTACAGCAGCTTGTAAATCATCTTCTGATCCCATTTTAATATCCATACAGCTTACCTCAACTGCTCCTATGTCGGCTTCTTTGAACTCACATTTTCCGTTCTAGAAAAAGAAACACAAAAATAATTAATCTCAATCTTTATCTCAATCTTTATTAAGGTAACATAAAGTATTATATCTGTAGCAGAGAATAATTAATTATTGCAAAAAACAAGAACTAATGACATAAATTTCGAATGTGTATAAGTTCCTTTAAAAAAAAAACGTTGCATTGTAGACAAAAACTCTACGTTGCATTGTAGACGCAAGCATGTAGTTTAATGGAATTATTAACGATTACACATGCCTTGGGTTCATTTAGAATTTCTGAATTTTAAACTATTAATCCTATTTATTTAAGTACCCTTGGTTTGTATGGATAAGATTCCTCTGTGTCAATTCCCTTATTTTTGATGACGTAAGCAAAAGCTTGATCCATTAAACCTCCTTCACAACCCTTGTTACCTTTAAAAATGAACAAGCTTATAAACATTTGATTCATTGATATGATATGTTTTTCTTAAGATCGAATTTTGATAAAATATAAAGGTATCAATTCTACAGCCAAGCAGACTTAGTGGCAGTTTCAAACATATTTTTCAATTAACCTTTTTTTAATATAAGTTTTATATAACACACATGGTTAAGTAGTGTATCGATTCATTTGTTTTGTTTTCTTGTTTTGAAATAAATAACGATTCTAAGAGCAATCTATCATATACTTGGGGGACAGATATTACTTGTTTCAGGATAATGATTCTATACAGCCAGGAATATAATTATGAACCACGCCCCAGAAACTCACGAATCCAAGGGTCCCAAACGTAACATTTTATGTACTAGGCTATTCTGACTAGATTACCTTAGTTAAGTATTTCAAGAATCATTTGTATTTCGGATTAATTACCTTCTGGTTTGGAGCAGTCCATCAAATTCTTTTCTGAAAGGGAAACCAATTTGCCAGTCTTCTTGAAATTTTGTCCCTCGAGGGAGCCAGTGGCAGAAAATGACCAACACGATCCGCATTGTCCCTATAAGATATTATTAATTTTACATTTCCATTGCAAAAGTTTATCAGAACATTTTATTTGTACACGATAATGCACGTCATAAAATGAGAGCTTACACTTAATATATGACGTCAAATGTGTCGTCAATTTACCAAATTACTTCCATTTACAATGTTGTCCAGCACATTTGTCAATTCTCTTTATTAAGATGTATGGAATTGAAACAAATATAAATTTTTTATTGAGTTTCTGAACATTAATGCATAGTTTATCGTCGGAATGCCTACCGACCTTCGTGATTATATTATGTAACAACAATGCAGTCAAAATTGATATATCTTTCTTAAAAGTAAAATTGCTATGCATTTTGCAATTCACACAAGTACACCACATGTCAACTTCATTTAAAGTAATGAAAAATAAATTCTCATTGTCAAATGGGTCTTTTAAAGTTACTCGCCTTCAGTATTGTTTTATTATGATAATTGCAAGTACATACTCGTATAAATAACAGTTATAGTAACCTGGTTTTTAATTTCAGTGACATATCCTTTTTGCCTCCAGTCAACACTGTCGGGAAGATCTCCGAGGTTAACATTCAATGGTGGTGTGAATTTACTACACACTGATCGGCTGACATTCTGTTTGAAACCGTTCATCATAGCTACAAATTCTTTATTTGTCTGAAAAAAAGATAATTGTGTTTAACAGAAATCATTCAATACTTTGCTTGCCAACTGATTTCAGACAAAATATCATGTCTGAGTGATAAAAAATTTAAAATCTTTATAGTTGACTAAGAAAAAAGTCAACGTTTTGTTCCAAATGGGAAACAAATAGCCCTATTGTTATATAAGTATTTTTTACAGTATTGACAGCAATATTTATTATTGTTTTACTTTATTGTCCATGTAAATGTTTTTCAAATCAAATAATGCAGGTTAATTAATAGTTAAAAGTAAAAAAAAAAAATTCTGGGCAATTTACTTTTTCATTCTTATTGACTAAAATATATTCCATTGATTGTTTCTTGTTGCATTCCGAAATCAGTTTCAACATGATGATCGGAAGCAAAGAAAAGCGAGATGATTGCGTTGTGAGAGGTTCGGAATTAACACCAGTCGCGAAGGCCTCCTTTTATCTCGTCATCTCTATCCCTAAAGATTAATGAATGATTACCATATCTCCATATTCGTTCATCCCAAGTATGTATGTATGGAGTCCTCTGTCGGCCTCGAGGTTATGTTGCTGGATATATTTAATATTGCTTTCCCATATAGCACGTCTGAAATAAAAAAAAGCATGCGCGTTGGTTTATATATTTAATATTGCTTTCCCAAAAACCATGTCTGAAACAAAATGGCATGCGTGTTGGTTTAAATATTTGATATTGCCTTTCCATATAGCACGTTTGAAACAAAATGACATGCTTGTTGGTTTAAATATTTGATATTGCTTTCCCAAATGGCATGTCTGAAACAAAATGACATGCCTGTTGGTTTATATATTAGATATTGCTTTCCCATATAGCACGTCTGAAACAAAATGACATGCATGCTATTTGTATATGTATATATATGTCTAGATAAGTCTATACAAACATATTGTTACATGTATAAATAAAACCGAAATTCAATTATCATCACGTTATTTTGGAATAATTCAATGCATTTGTTTATTACATTTTATAAGTGTTTCATTGAGTTTACTATGTTCACTTGTACAGAAATAATAAGTAATCTTTCACCAGGTAAAAGGAGACGGGAAACAACTACATATGTTATACCAGTCAATACTAAACATCAGATACGTTAATGTTAGTTAGAAACCGGTATTTCTTATATCAATGCAGCCTTGAAGGTGAAAACACCGTCCTTATAAAAGTTTAAAATATAAATTTATTTATATCATTTGTATCCACTTAGAGAGGATGATTATTCTTGTTACTATAAATTGTGTACTCATATTATTGACATAGACCTACGTCAAATGGTATAAAATCTCGAAAATACAATATTTCTAGTCATGTCGTCTTAAAATTAAAAGCCTCAGCGGAGTCCTCCTTAAAATTTGAAATTCAGCAGCTTGCTTAAATAAGACCTAGTTATTAACATTTAGATAAGATAAATGTATCCCAGTGACATGCATACCAGTATAGATTAATCAAATGTAAGGTATGAATTACATGTACAAATTGTACAAACATCTATTGGTATTATCTAAACACAGATAAGAGATAGATATACTAAGGTAAATGACCTGACAAACTTAAATATCATATCATGATGCCCCGTCAAGATTTGAAAGTTGCCCTTTTTATTATTTTTACGAGTCATCTCTAACAAAATGTCGACTTATTAACATTTTCTTTCTTATGCTTTGCTTAATATATAGCATTTCGTATTCCCAATCTAGACATGGAGGTAATAGATGATGAGTTGATTGACCCGTTCATTTCACCCGATGAGTCTTATAACGTTTAGTGTTTCTTTAATTGGCATTCGGACTATATGTGTTTAAAATAACATTTGTACAAAAAGCAATGCATTTGTTAATACGTCCATACCTTAGTCCCTCTACATGAGGATCATACTGTTTGCCGTGGGCGGTCTTGTATGACTCCCATTCGTTGTTAAGGAAACTGTTGAATGCTAACGATGTTGCCAAAAGGCATGCGAATACTGCTGCACGGATCATCTAAAATTAAAATACATGTATTTGAGAAAAATGCTGAGCTAAAAGCTGAGAACGAGAACATTTTTTGGTATTCTCTTTTAAAATTTCGCTTTCAATGTTTCTTCTTGCAGAAGAAGCATGAGTCCATTATATTGATAAAGACAACCGTTACACAGGTATTCAGGTACAATATTCATCGTGTGCACAGTTGCAACCTAATGCGGGAGACCTCACTTTATCTGAAATTGTTTTTTTGCTATTTCCAAAATTTGCAAATCAATGTATCAAAATGTGCCACTTATAAATAAAATATATAACACGTATCATTAAAATCTTGAACTGCTTTAATTTGACAAGAAAATCACAAATTAATGCTAAGATAACGAATTAAATATTTAAGCTATGCATAACCCATTAAAATGCAAATTCATGCTGATAAATTAAATAATGATTTTTTTTATTAAAGAACAAAAACATTTGACAAATGTAATATTTAATTTTTTATGTAAAAATCTAGCAAATAAATTTACTCTTGAAAGGATACAATAATATTAATAACATTAAAAAAAGAAGGAACGGTGGCATGCAGTGAAAGAGGTCCCAAACAATCCCTTGCAACATTAAAACTAAACTTAAACTATATCAAATAGATTTTCTCTTGACACAATATATCTAAAACATAAGAAAAAATAAAGGAAGGCAGCATTCCCAACAAACCCTTTGGAATACTCATAAACATCTCTCCAGTAACAAATATAAAATTCCTACCTTTATTTGTCTTTGGCTTGTTCAATGTCCACAATACCTAGTGAAGAGCTGACACCGTCAATCACTGTATTTATACTTGTTCATTTGTTCTAAAAACAAAAGCACTTCATATGATAACAATGCTGATCATGTGATCTTTCGACAAATCACATGACTTAATTGGCCGAACTTAATAAATTGTTTACTTAGTATCTTGTGAGATGATTGTTCAAAAATACTACGACCTTCAGTATAAATGAACCCAATGATAAAATATACAAAAATAATTTTCAAAACGAGTGTGCAAATATGAATAATTCTAAACACGTAAAATGTGATATTTCATAGGTTTCATTAAATTTTGTTTATTTTGTTCTCTTAAAATATACCTCCAACAGATATACAAGGTTTCAGTCTCTGGATCAAATCTTTGAAGTCATTTTCATTGTTTTTAGGTATACTGGGAAGACACTGGAATATTAAAGAACCAAGATGTTTGTGCGGAACACATTTTCAACCTGAGATGAGTCATGTTTGCTTTGGAACCAATAAGAACTCACAAGGGACAAGATCAAGTGAATACGAAGATGGGGGTGTACATCGACTTGTTTCTACTTCAGAAAATCTTGCACTATATACGCTTTGTCATGTAGAAATCCTTGTTGTTGTTAAGTTTTCGAAAAAAAATGGCGCTTGTAATTTACGCATCGACAGATCTGCTTTTGAATGGCAGGACTCTGAGTTTTTAAGAAGATATGTTTATAAAAATAGAAGATGAATACATTAATTTTTGTATGTAGCCTTGTCATAAGTTGCGCGTTTTGTTGCCGTTTAGTGTTAAATAGATTAATATAATCGTTTGAAATTAGAGGTGTTCTAGAAAAAATACTGAACACATTGGCCAAGAAAAGATTAAATTGATGGAACTAAAAATGCCACAAAGACGACACGATGTCGCACGTAGCGAATTTCAAGGAGAAGAAGTATTACACCAAAAAAACAAAAAATAATGATACATTTGTACATCGTTACTGCTTTTTTCTGATCAGACTTTATTTTTTATAAAAGAATATGTAGAATGTTTGACATATTTTGTTGAAGAATCACATGTGTAGAGAAAATGTTGTATCTTATACCATGATCTCTCAAGTTTACGTCTTTTATCGTTTTAAGATTTTTTTTATTAAAATGAAAAAAACATTGTTCATGTTTTGCTGATTTTTTTCTAAAGATTCATGAAATGCTTTTAAAAATATTCTTTTCAGAATGTTCCAAATTTTAAGATAAGTAATGGCAACCTCTCCGTACCCCAACAACATTTTGTTTGTATAAACAAAAGCAACTTTTAATTTTTAAATTACAAATACAGTGCCAACGGTGTCTATACCATGTGACTTTTCCTGATCTGCGTGAGGAACAAAACCAAAACCAATATTAAGTGGATTATGTTTCTCAATAACTTAAAAAGAACAATATTTTGAGCATAAGTTATTGACTAGAATGACCAGGCTGTACACATTATTTCATTTAAAATAATAAAATAGTAATATTATGAAATATAATCTTAACTGGACCGGCTTTTGTATCATTGTTTATTTGTTTGCTCCATGCAGATCAGTATCGGCACCGTTATATAGGTATTCAGATGTACAAGAAGGACTTTTAAACAGTATTCATATTAGACACCAGACGCTCCAAAAGCGTTTCATAAAGGCCAGAAAAAACATCATCAACAAACAAAATAACGAAATAGATGTTTCATCTATCGCGAACAACCATGACATTATCATATGATTATGAAAATTATTATCTACCTATTTTCTATCAACATCTTCAACCAATATGTAGTGTAACATTCAAATACTTATATGATAAGATATACAAATATTTGATCGTAAGTGAACAGATCATAGTTAATAAATTAACTGTAAAGATAAGGCTGTTATTGGTCTCGGTTAATTAATAAATGTTGTACGGCTGTCAAATATCTAATGAGTGTAACATTATTTACGCAAAAAAGTCAGAATAATCCATTTCCTCACCTTGCAGTACTGTATACTTTATATAAAATTCCTATCAAAACAATATGAACATCAAGTATCGAGCAGACAAACACACGTGAACAGAGTCTACAATTGTTTCGTGTAATGATGTTGTTTTCAGAGATTCAAAGGGATCTCCCTTTTTCAAGATCTTTAAACATTCGGATAACAGCGGACTTGTGGTTTATTTATCAGTGATCAAAAACGTGGTTAAATTGCCAATTAAACAACAATTAAGGTCTTGATAGTGGACAGGCGAAGTGTTCTTTGGAGCATTTTAGTTTTAAGCTGTGAAAACAAAACTTAAGTACAGCCTTTTCAAATTATTGCATCGTCAACTGCTCAAGAACAGTATCACAAACAAAACATTGTGTTTTTATGTGTAAACAAGGTCAATTAAGAATATGTATTACATCAGGGTAGCATATATATAGTCAATTAGTCAACTTAAATCTATAAACAGTGAACATGTTAATTTTGGATCATGCATCATTTAAAATAAAGAACACAATCTGTTCCTTTAAGCTATGGGATGGACTTAATTCCAGGTTGCTCTTAAATAGGATTTGCTACTGTAATTTTGCCAACTTGAGATTATTTAACTACTAAAGATGCTTACAGATTTGTATAAATGAGTGTTTTTAAAGGTTTATTTTTTTATATATATTTACAGACGTTACTTCGAACGTTGGGAATATATCTACTGAATATTTAAGGAAAATAAATTTTGAACTGAATATTAATAGTTTGTGTTTTCAAGTACACATCTCAGGATTAACTGTATTTATACTACGATAAAAAGCATTGTTGTTGTTGTTTTTACATTAGTATGATATTATTAAGAATGATCAAAATCATACCATATTAAAGTGTTATTCTCACATTTGAAATTTGTATTTTTGCTATCTTACAGAAAAATGTAATTTGGCTTTTACTTGTTTTAATCAATGACATATTGTGAGACAAAATGTTATGTTTTACTCAATTGAGCACAAAAGTTATCAAGATAATCATTTGGGAGGAAAAGTTGTTTTTTAATTTTTTTTTAGTATTTATTCATAATACCATTCCTTTTATGTGAAATTTACCGAAACTCTTCATTTGTGGCTGACTTATCATCATAAAGTTTTAGTTTACTTGACACAGATAATGTCTTTCTTTATTTTTAGCAAACTACCTTGCAAAACAAGAATTGGTTACTTTTGAATTTTATTATTGTATTATAAATATAAAACATCGTATATAAAACAAATCAACATGTAACATAGTATAATAACAACAAAAAGTCGGTTTTAGAGATCTTGTAATTGTCAAATGAAAGTCGTCTGTCAAAACATAGTAAGAACATATGAAAAATTTTACCCATTATTGCTAACAAAAATTTTGCACATTTTCATATCGTTTTTATCAACAAATTAGATTTTAAACCAGTAATTTCAAAAAGAAAGTTAAGAAAATTGTCATTTCGTAAAGTACAACATTGTCCAACAAATTGTCAATTTTAAGCAGATCTAATTCCAATCAGATTACATGGTAGGGAAGCTGGCAGATGTAGCAATTCCGCATTGGTTTTCCTTGTTTCTTGACATCATGACGTAACCTTCCTGTCCCCAGCTTTTGCCCCAGCTGTAAATGGTGAAAATGAGTAATTAACAAATAACCGAAAATGGAATCATCAAGGGTCAATCAAAATCCAGAGACAACTTAATCCAAATTTTGTAGACTGTGTTCGACTGACTAAACAAATAAATTACCAATTTACATTTCACAGTCCATATCCTTATTATAATAGTTTTCCAATTATATTTCGTAAATAAAAATTATTTATGATCTCAGAAACCTGACTAAAAACTTTAAATTTCTAATAACCGAATCTTTGAACGATATTTCATAAAACATTCCTGTTTTAATTTACCAAACAAAAGGGTTTGCTTTACAACTGAATATAAAATATATAATTATAAGACCCTCTACCTGTTCTTTACAAGCCAGTAATCTTTAGATCCCTCGGAACCGTAACCAACAGCTAAAACACCGTGGTCAAGTTTCTTTGATGAACATCTTCTCTCATTGTAAACACCAGATCTGAGGCAAAAAGCAAACTAAATCAAATGTCATCATCGAAAATAAAAACACAATTAAATAATAAAATAAATTGTTTAAAAAGATATTAAGAATGAAGTTTTATGAAGTCCCGGATTTATTCCGAAACAAATCATCAGTATAAACAGATATGTGTTTGTGTGTATAAACAGTTTTTCTGACTATTTGTAAAGACCTCGTACGCATCTTATGAACATAGCAAATATTATAATCCTCGATATTTTTTTTATCAGTCCTATAAAGGAGTACAGAAATTTGTTGATATCATTCCTATTTAGATTACTTAAAATGTATTTTGTCTTTTTTAGTATCCGTTCGGTGAATTAGTAATAACAAAATAATAATAAATCATTCGCAGAGCAAAGAAAGCAATTAAGCAATTATACGAACTAATTACCTGTATAGTTGGAAAGATGGATGGCTAGCATCAATGGCTACAGAGATTGGTCCTACTGTTGCTACAGCAGCTTGTAAATCATCTTCTGACCCCATGCTGATATCCATACAACTTGTTTCAGTTGCTCCAATGTTTGCTTCTTTGAACTCACATTTTCCGTTCTATAAATAGTATCATATTTAAAATATTATCAGAAAAATAACATATGTCGTCTTCAAAATAATAAAAAAAATTATATTATAAAATTTTCAAGTTTAGAATAACTCTCAGTGTCTTTTTATACTAGAGCAAATTCTTGTCCTATGCAAAATGAAGCGGTTTGAAAATCTAAAAAAGGTCTTTAATTGAAAAATGGAATACTAGGAACAATACCATTGGTCTGTATGGGTAAGATTCCTCTGTGTCAATTCCCTTATTTTTGATGACGTATTCAAAAGCCTGGTCCATTAAACCTCCTTGACAACCCTTGTTACCTAAAATTTAAAAAGAATAATTGAGACTTAAAGTATGTTATGTTCGAGGGAAACGGTTAAACAAACATCCATACCAATACATTTAATTAAGTTATATCGAAAGAATGGCAAGAATAAAACAATGCACTCATATCATTTTCTTATTATTTCATATATGTGCTTATAATGTTCTTTTTTTTCAGTCACATGACTGAAGCTGCGTGGTTGTTCTTGATAATATATTATTTGTACATCTAATAACATAACATATAAATCCCATTTTATGTTTCCCTTCTCAGATGTCTAGGCTGATTACAGATATATACTAGTAAAGTGTTTCAATAAATAAAAGCATATTGAATAAACCCACCTTCTGGTTTCGAGCAATCCATCAAATTCTTTTCTGAAAGGGCCACCAATTTGCCGGTCTTCTTGAAGTTTTGTCCCTCGAGGGAGCCGGTGGCAGAGAATGACCAACATGATCCGCATTGTCCCTATAAAATACAGTAATAAAGTTTGATGTTCACTTGGATTTTAAAGCAAACATTATTTATAGCAAAAGATGCTTAGCAAGATGCCAACTATTGAAGACATAATTATGTTTCTAAAAACAATAAGTTTGTAACGACACAATACCACTATGGACAAACAAGAGCAAAACATAACCTTAAAATTGACAAGCTTAAATGACACCCGAATAAGATTTGAACATTGACATTCATGACAACATTTTGTTATTTGTCATGAAAAAAAACTGATTACCTGATTTTTGATTTCAGTGACGTATCCTTTTGGCCTCCAATCAACACTGTCGGGAAGATCTCCTAGGTTAACATTCAATGGTGGTGTGAATTTACTGCAGACTGATCGGCTAACGTTCTGTTTGTAGCCGTTCATCATGGCTACAAATTCTTTATTTGTCTGGAATAAAATATGTCACGTTAAAGCAAATCTGTTTCTTAGATATATTAAAAATCATTTCTTTATTTGAAATGGGCACACTTAATAGCTATGGAAACGCGATATTTGACAAAATATATTCAAAGCCGACGTTTGTTATAAAATAAATAAATAATTCCATATTTATACAGGCTCCTCACAAATGTCAGAAAGTTTTATCTCTTATTATACAGTTAATGTAACCGAAACTGTTATAAATAAACTATAATTCATACCTTTAATTGTTGATTTTGTATTTATCAAATTTTGAAATAAACAAATTAATCCATAGAAGATGCCAAAGCAAGACAATTTCGATGATTAAAGGATACATAAATATTCTATTCGCGTCAGATAAATGTTATTTTGTTTGGGTTTTGCCGATTTTTACACACTCTTTGGACATATCTCGGCAGACGACCCACCTAATCGACTTTCCTGGATAACTAACCAGCAATTACCAATTTCTCCATAATTGCTCCACTACAAACCAAATATTTTTTTCCTGATATAAATGAATGATTACCATATCTCCATATTCGTTCATCCCAAGTGTATATGTATGAAGTCCTCTGTCAGCCTCGAGGTTATGTTGTTGGACATATTTGATATTGCTTTCCCATATAGCACGTCTGAAACAAAATGACATGCGTGTTGGTTTATACATTAAATATTGCTTTCCCATATAGCACGTCTGAAATAAAATGACATGCGTGTTGGTTTATATATTTAATATTGCTTTCCCATATAGCACGTCTGAAATAAAATGACATGCGTGTTGGTTCATATATTCAATATTGCTTTCCCATATAGCACGTCTAAAACAAAAAGATTAATATATTCCTTATTCTATATCATTCCATATAAACGACATTCACTATAGTTTTGGACTACTTTCATTGGTACTTCCTTGGTACTTCTGTAAGTTCTATGAATGTAAAGTGTTGTTAATGTGTAGAGAAATAATAAGAAAAAACTGATTTTGTTATATATATATTTGGGGTATTGAGTTGTACACTATCATTTTTTCAAGAGCATTTGATTACAAAAATGGGTAGATTAAAACACTTAAAATATCTATGGTCTAACTGTGACCTTATGTAGCCATAGATAAAAGATACGCATTATTTATTTATTTTGACAACGAGAAGTAATGTAACGCATATTTTATTCTAAGATGTTGTTTTTTTCCCTTTACTACAATACATCATATATTGATTTAACTTGAGAATAACACTGTTAGTTAATTCACCTATGTCACATAACACATTCAATCATACTGTTATATTACGTGTATCCGTTTCTTAAGTAAATAATAAATTTTGCTTTCGAATAAGATACTGGCTGGCTTGAGACACCATGATATTGGCTTGCGATACCACACTGGTAAATATGTTAATATATTACCTGAGTCCCTCTACATGAGGTTCATACTGTTTGCCGTAGGCTGTCTTGTATGACTCCCATTCGTTGTTAAGGAAACTGTTGAATGCTAACGATGTTGCCAAAAGGCATGCGAATACTGCAGCACGGATCATCTGAAATAAAAAAAAAATCTTACTATTATTATGATTATTATACGGCTTTTTTTTTCTTTCTTTAATTTTACGACGTTAAAATTACAACGTTTTCTTGCATATCAAACAGGATCATCGGCTGTTTACAGCGGAGCTAAAAAAAACCCTGTCATTGACCACAATGTAAGACAAGTCGCGTGTTTTAAATGACGTCGATCCCACGCGCCTTTTACCAATGACTGCATGGTTATTGGTCAATAAAACTCTCATGCAGAGTATATCCGACTACGAATAGTTTGTTTTCAATCCTTGCATTTATCACATATCATTCGAGAGTCATCTCTAATTCAAAATTAGTCTCCATTACACCAATTTAAACAGAATTGGCATTGTGAATAAAGACAGTAAACATAAAAATGAAATTTATTTTACCTGAGAAAATATTTGATAAGCATTAAATTGCATCCATTTGAATTGATTGTAAATTTCGTGTAAAATAAAATTTAGTCTTGTATAAGACGAATTCAACATGTTTCAAACGAAAATTAAAAAAAAATAACACAAACTTTCATCAAAATTAAAACCTTAACATCAAAATTCGAAAGATAAGTATAATTTTTTATTATTATACAAGAATAATGATCATTTGTACAAGGTTGTTGCCATTTACATGAAAGCTGTGGACTCTCGATATAATATACAACAGTAAAATAGAGAAAAATGAAAAAAAAAAAAAAAAAAAAAAAAACGCCCAAAGCGGCATAATCTAAAATGTTGTAGGCTTTGTTTAATTGACCCCGTTCATGGACGGCACTGCTAAATGCTAGCTTCCGTCCACCCCCCTAGCGCACCAGCTTTTGCAAAAGTCATCATTAAGATTAAAAAAATGGTAAAATTGTGATTTTCGTACGTCCGATAATATTCACGTTTTAAAACATTCTTTAAAGTCCTGTAAAAAAATTAAAGTTTTACTTTATTAAAAGTCTGTAAAGTTTTGAGCGTTCGGTATCAATGACGTTTGCATAAATGGTAATTTTAATATAAATAGAAAAAACATTTCTTTTAAAATAGTGTTAAAATACTCCTTCTACATCAGTTACAATGTTCTTACCTTGTTTCGTTTTACCTCCACTCTCTCTTGTGAAGAACGTGCAAATACGCCGAGTATTTATATATGGTCAGCTGTCCTAAAAACGGGGACAGCTCAATTGATAACGATGCTCGTCATATGGTATTTAAACAAATCACATGACTTAGTTGACCGCAATAAATTAATAGTTACTTAATGTATTATATTGTAAAAAAAGCTGTAAACGAGCTACAACTTTGGGTTTGATTGAAATCAATGAAAACGAAAAAAGCTAGAATTTCAAATTAAAAGCTGAATCATTAAACTACTTAAAGATTAAATTATTACGTTAGTAAGTGTATTTAAACTTCAAAAAGTTGAATTACTCTAGTAAAGTTTTAAAAGGAACATAGCTATGTAATTTGATTTTTGCAAGATTTGAAAATGAGCACTTCGAATTTCGTTTTATTTCTTTTCATAAGTGACATATCAAAAAAAGGTACTTGAAGAAAGTTTGAATGATAACATTAAGTTGCATTCTAAACAGGCTGTACCCAATCATACCATGTATTTATTAATGTATCTATTTAAAATAAAACAGAGAAAAACAGAATTTCTAAAGAAAGCCCAATACGGCAAAGTTGAAAATGCTGCACATTCAGTTTGATTAAGCCTGTTCATGGTTGGTAACTGAGTTAAACTAGTTTTATATTTTAGTCAAAAGATTGACTAGTTCTATGGTAGTTGGACAATAATTGATAATTTCAAATATTCAAAAAAAAGTTAATAGTTTGTAAATATAAAATGACTGCCCCACTCTTCTTATAAAACGAACATGAATGTTATTTGAAGATATATATGCGTGTCACGAGAGTAATTGTGTACTCATGTGATGTTTATTATAAAATTGAAAACAAATATGAAGATATGTAAATTGATAATAATTTTATCTAAACTGTCATCATTTACTCTTGGATGAGCATTTCAGTTTAATCCTTACCTTGGACCGAAATTGACTAGCAAGCTTTTGCCACCAGCAAAAAGACAGAGCAGTATACATGGCAAAGCTTTGTACTTTTGGTTCAGAAGGTTTTAATTTTTCTTTTTGTAAAACTATCAATTATTAATAGGAAAAATTCATTATTTCAAAATTTCGAAACTTTACCAGTTCAAGACAAATGTTGAATTCTGCTTAATTTAGCCTGTGCTAGGGGTGCGGAGGGTAACTTGCAATTTCCAGTACCTTCCATGAACATGCGCAATCAAACCGAGCCTGCAACATTTTCAATTTTGCAGTGTTAAGCTTTCTTTAGGGATTCTATTTTTCTCTATTTAATCCTAACAACGAAAAACTTTTGAACTCTGACTTTGCTTTAATCAGGTGAGAAGCTACTCGACATCGTTAAGTATATTATTGTAAATAAAAGTAAATAAATGTGATAACACCATGTTTGATACATATATAATTGTAGATGATACAAATGGGGTCCGGGCAATAGCCGGACATATTTTGTTGTATCATTTGTGATAGAGATAAAAGTAAAATGACCTGAACCTACTGTTATGTAAAGATGCTCTATGTCTTAGTATTTTAATTTGGTTAAGTGTATAAATGGGTTAAATATTTTGCAATTATATAAAATTTAAAAACGGCTATACATTTTAAGAGTAGAGAAACACTAGCTTCTTTCCTTGCGTCTGGAACTTGAGCAATCTGAATAGAAACGTTGAGGTAAAAAGAGCCCTTAGAGGACCACAGAGATCATGGGAGAGTTCACAAAGGATGCGATTGTGGATATCGTCAGGACCAGCGGCTTTTACTAAAGGAAGAGATTTCAATACCAATTCCACCTCGTCTGGCGATATACTTATATCAGCTAGATGGTTAGTAACGTTAGGTTAATCAGAACAAAATAAAAGAAAAACAATAGAAAACAATAGAAACTTTATTTTGACATTATTTTATAATGTATGAACTTCGTGAACAATGAGACATCTGACCTAAGATTTATTATTGTATTTAGTATTATTGGTTCACTTAAATGTATTAAGAAAGTCTGCAAGAATTGTATGAGAAATATGATAAACAATAACCTTCGCCGTAGGAGCCATAATAAGCAATGGAGTCTGCAAATTTCGCTACCGGTACTTTTTCCCTGGCGTCCATTAGATCATCTTTTCGCAATTGTATAACGTGACATTTAGGTAACGCATGTAGCTCATGTTCATTTATCTTGATATCTTGATCTATATCAGAAAGCATTTTGGCGGTGATTGGTTTTAATTAAAACTTATATGTTTATACTGTTTTAAAAACTCACTAGTAACGGAGCTGCGTACCGTCTCTTTAGGGACAATGTGGAACATAAGGCAAGCAAACAATGAGGACTAAGGTGGTTTTATTAGCAAATATTCAGAAAAAAAGCCAACAACAACAAAATAAGCAAGGTCATCTGACAAATTGATTTTTCTTTAAATTTTAAACTAAACGGCAACGAATATCGGACAAATAATTAAGGCTTAACTTTTACAGTATATAAACGAGTGTCCGTCCTGCTTTTGCAAGAAAGGTTCAAGATGATAGATATATTTGGATCCTGAGAAAAGTATAGTGATCGGAAGTAGCAGGTACATCTAATTATAGATGTATATGGTAAACTTTTAACTGTAAAGGCATGCCAGATATAGTGCAGCGATTTCGTGTAATTCGCCTTGGCTGATAACCGCCATAATATGAACACATCTGTTTCAAAATTCAAAATTTTATCAGTTCATGTTAAATGTTGAATTATGTTTATGCCGGCGCTGGGGGTGGGGGCTTTGACGGCTACTTGCAATTTCCCGTACCGTCCATTAACAGGCTTAATCAAACCGAGCCTGAAACATTTTATTTTCATTTTTGTCGTTTTGAGCGTTCTTTAGGGATTCCTTTTTTCTCTATTTCTTTATGAGTTTTGACAAAGTGTATGCTGTCTTGCCGAACGTTATATATACAAACTTAAATTAGTAGGTACTCAAATGAGACAAAATGATAGACAACAGTATATACATTGTACTGTATATCAAATCATGGCTCATGAATGGTGATATAATTATAATTAAATGATGAGAAACTGTAATATCTGTGTTCACTAGTGTCTCAAATATGTAGGGCATCATATCAACCAACTCATAGATAGCGATATTAAGGCCACCTTATCTATATATAACGGTTAATTTACACTTTTAAACTATCCGTCAAGGTCAATCACTTCACGTACGCATAGCTACGTTATAAAATGTTCATTCTTCTTTAGGCTAGATTCTTGTTCCTCAATCAGATTTTTCTAAATTTTATTTTCAGTCTTTGGCAAAGATTATAAGGTACTAGTACAGATGCTCTTCTGGTTCAGCTCTTCAAATATATGAGGAAATAAAAGTATCTATCTATATGTTGTGTTTCTTTATTATTTTCTCAATTTTATTTTGGTAGTTCCAATTTTGCCTGTGCATTGCTTCAGAACCATTCGCCACGGAACTAAAATGTCAATGGCTTGTTGATAAAAGACCACATGCTTCATTAAAATTGCTTAGTAATATTGTATTAAAATCTGACGCCAATCAAAGTTTTTATGATACATTGCCAGCAATAGCTTTAATTTAACCGCGAATGGCGGCCTTTTAAGCTCTTTACTGGTGGAAAAGGCTAATAACTCTCGGTTCCAACAGGGTAAGAGTTAAATTAAACTAAGTAACGCGCTAGACATTTACATGTCCTTACTTGGAGGATTTTTGTCAGTATGTGTCGAGACTTACACAAGTTTATCAGCAATGTTCTAAATGTTAACAATATAATACAACTAGAGCAAGGTCACCTAGACAGTTAAATATATTTGTGTATTATTCGTGGCTGAAAATTGTCCCATCTTGCCAAAAGAATCATAAATGATAATGAAATATGATGAAAAATAGAATTGTTTTTGGAGAGTCCTAGTCTTTCAGTCCTAGACACAAATTATTGTTGATCAGGTGTATAACCACTTTGTCTTTTGATTATGTATAAAAGGCAAGTACTTCATTAGATCTTCATTTAATTACGACAACTTGTTATATCAAACTATATCAGGATCCACCCAGGGTGACAAGAGTGGCATCTGTGTGATTTTTTTCTTAACGAATGTACTTCAAGAACAAATATGATAAAAGACATACATTAATTTCAGTTTTAGACAGGTGATACCATACCTTACATCCTTACATCCTTACATCGTTGCCCTTACATCCTTAAAATACCAACATTTGAAAGCTTTCCAAGCAGAGATTAAAGACTTGGTTCGAAAGTAAGAACTAGTTATCTATTGTTGTAAACGGACAAGACTATTAAACTTATATTCCTTTGTGTGCCTTGTTCGTTCACACTGGTCGACAAAACTTAAAAATCTTTAGAAGGTTAAGATCAATGTTACCTAAAATATCAGGATTCTTATTAATTTTTTTTGTTAAGATTCTTATTATTTGTTTTGTTAGGATTTTGTTCTTTTGTTTTGTTATGATTTCTATTATTTTGTTAAGATTTTCATTATTTTGTTTTGTTAAGAATCTCATTATTTTGTTTTGTTAAGATTATTTTACATTAATTTAATTAAGATTTGTATTTATTTGTTTTATTGGTTTTTTGTAATTGATCTTTCTTATTGATTTTCATCATTGAACTCTTTCTCTTTGGTCCAATCATAATAAATGCTTGAATTTTTATCAAATCAGTTTTATGTTTTTATTTCATACAAAACAACTTACAAATTTACATTACAAAAATTAAAACAAGTCCAAGTGTACATATCATCACACAAGACACATTTTATATATCATTTCAGTACGCACACGGTAAAAAATGTGTTCACAATGGACATTTTTAAGCAATATCTATGGACGTAATAGAATAATAATCAAATAATCGTCTTGTTTGAATTATACAAAGCAGATCTTTCCACCAAATCGGATTACATGGTAGGGAAGCTAGCTGATGTAGCAATTCCACATTGGTTTTCCTTGTTTCTTGTCATCATAATGTATCCCTTTTGTCCCCAGCTCTCTCCCCAGCTAAAAAAATAAGCATGAGCATTAATAAATGGCTTGCTGAATAAAAGAGGTACAATAAGAATAAAAACAGATGTCGGTACAAATCTAACGGAAGCATTATAAAGATATATATTCCCTTTGTTTCGTACGGTTGCATTTATTTATACAATTACACTGTTTATAAAACAAATTCTTGTAAATATGTAAAGATAGCCCTTATTGAATAAGTTGAACACATCTGCGGATGTTTCAAAATTCTAAATTTTACCAGTTCATGTTAAATGTTGAAGTCTGCTTAAGCCGGTGCTAGAGGGGCGTGGACGGTAGTTTGCACTTAACAGTACCGCGCATGAACAGGCTCAATCAAACCAAGCCGGCATCATTTTCAATTTTGCCGTGTTGGGCTTTCTTTAGGAATTCTAATTTCACTCTATTTTATTCGTTAGTCGCGCATGAGGAATATGGTGATCATACTACAAAACCAGTCATTAATAACATATAACATGAGAATCATTTCTTAAGTTATGAATTATTTTTTTTAATTTTCTTAAAATCTAAGTTCATTTTTGTCACGATTGATTTTTCTTGAAATATTTTGGCTCATCTGGAGGCATGCAAACTAAATAAATGATGAATCGCCTACCTGTTTTTCACAAGCCAGTAATCTTTAGAGTCTTCGGTACCATAACCGACAGCTAAAACACCATGGTCAAGTTTCTTTGATGAACATCTTCTCTCATTATAGACACCAGATCTGAAATTTACAACACATGCTATCAATAACTCTGCTGAACATTAAACATACTAGTATACGCAACAATTATAATCCTGGTTTTAGTTATACATCAACCCTTGTCCTGTTGAAGTTTTGTAATTGATATTCCCAGCTTTGGATGTGAAAAATCCCTTGCAAAGTGTAAGGGTTTTCAAAATATTAAAATATCATTATTGAGCTAGAAATAGTTTAAGGCCTGGTCAGAATACATGCATGGTTTAATGCGGTGCTTTTGTGTTTTTGCCGCAAAATTGTCGGATAGAAGAACTGGTATAGTAGGAAGACCCTTAATGTATGAACTTTATTTACCTGTACATTTGGAAAGATGGATGGCTAGCATCAATGGCTACAGATATTGGTCCTACTGTTGCTACAGCGGCTTGTAAATCACTTTCTGATCCCATGTCGATATCCATACAGCTAACCTCTGTGGCACCAATGTTTGATTCTTTGAACTCACATCGGCCGTTCTAGAATAGAATAAATTTAAAATTTCTATTAATAACACTAAAAAATATTTATACCTAGTTTGAAAGGCTTTGTTTAAAGGTTTAAATTCAAATAGAACTTATGAATATGTCGTATTTTTTACAAATAGGAAGATGTAGATTTATATTAATCTAAATTAAGCTGTAGAGGGTTTTCATATCATTTTGTAAATGTTGGGATTTTAGAATTGATGTCAGTTGTTTTACTTACCTTTGGCTTGTATGGGTAAGATTCCTCTGTGTCAATTCCCTTATTTTTGATAACGTATGCAAAAGCTTGATCCATAAGGCCCCCTTCACATCCCATATTTCCTGCAAAAACATAACAAACATTAACCTTAGATGAAATATCTATTTAAAAAAACAGCTTTACACTTAATAATATTTAAGTTAAACAGTATTTGATATGAATATATGACACAATTCACGAGTGAGTTGTTAACATTTATGTTGTATTTCCAAAAGTGGGGCTGACTCTTTGTTCTTCTTTCCTATCAAATCCATGAATGCTAGTATTTGGATTTTACATAAAGGTTACAATGCAGCTCTTGATCACAAAAAAAGTTTTGATAAAATGTCTAAGTGGCTTCTTTGTTGGTAGATTTGTTTTCCTTTTGATGTTAAAGTTTTATTGCTGTGAAAATTTTAAAGATAAAGAACAAAAGAAACAATATTACCTTCTGGTTTGGAGCAGTCCATGAGATTCTTCTCGGAGAGTGACACCAATTTGCCAGTCTTCTTGAAGTTTTGTCCCTCGAGGGAGCCAGTGGTGGAGAATGACCAACATGATCCACATTGTCCCTGGAAAAAAGTATAATATTGACCTTTTTAACTTTAGATGACATTGATTTATCAATAACATCTCTACCGTTGCTTCCACAAGATCGGTTGTTTTTTTATTGCAAACCCCTTCAAATAACAAAACTAGTCATAGCATACTACCATGCTTTCGCGTGTATTTCTATGACCAATATGATAAAATTTAAAACGTTTAAATTTGAGCATGTAGTATCATATATTTGTAAAGTAATTGTTACCTGATTTTTAATTTCAGTGACGTATCCCTTTGGCCTCCAATCAACACTGTCGGGAAGATCTCCAAGATTAACATTCAATGGTGGTGTGAATTTACTGCAGACTGATCGGCTAACGTTTTGCTTGTAGCCGTTCATCATACCTACAAATTCTTTATTTGTCTGAAAAAAATATTTTTATAATACATGTATATATCTTTTAGTGAAAAACGCATTAAACATTTATATGTTTAGAATTTGTTCACCATATGAATGCGTCAGAAATAAAACATTAACATTTTGCTACTACATGTATTCTTAGTACCAGTTTATTCTTCGACGCAGAACGATTTATGTGATACAGGCTTTATTTGAGTTCACTTGTGTAGGAAGCTACGATCAAATAAGCATATAGACACACCCATGAATGTAAAATTTGTTTTCAAGGAATCAAAGACATTTTTTGGCAGTAAGGAGTTTTGATAGTCATTGAAATTTGTTGTCTTTTGCAATATAACTTAACAACCAACAACAGAACTTGGTTGCTGCTGAGAGACGTCGTTCAAAAGACTTTACACGTCATGTATAGTTAAATCATACTTTGGAAAAGAACTGATATTGTTTGTTTAAAGAGGTAATCGTTCTGCGGAGAGGTTTGATCTTTCAAAGTTTGCACTCTATGCAATAATTGTGCACATTTATGTGATTGTAATGTTTACCATGTCACCGTATTCGTTCATTCCAAGTCTGTAAGTATGAAGTCCTCTGTCGGCCTCGAGATTATGTCTTTCTACATACTGAATGTTGCTTTCCCAGATAGCACGTCTGTAGTAAAATATATAACCAATGTATAGAAATTGTGCTAGGTGAATCTTATTAATAGTTATATCATTGATGCATGATCATATATCTTAACAAGAAATGAATATGAAAATATGAAAACGTGATTTTTTGCTGTTGATGATTTTCATTTCGGGTATGTGGGTATACTTTTAAAAGTGTGCTACTTTCTGAGGGAAATGGACTAACTACGGAATTGTGAGTCTTGTAGAATGACGTCCAGATAATCCGTGAGAACAACAAATATTTGCAGTCACAATGTCCTGGTGTTGCATGAAAGATAAATGTTGACACAATTGTAACACTAATGTGGTCAGTTGAGCACGGTGAAGCCTTAATGGTAAACGTTTGTATATTAATCTACACAGCGTATTAAAAGACTTGTGAAGGTGTAACTTCGATTAAGAAAATTTATATTTCATACATATTCTTTGTAGTTATTTTACATTGTCGATGGAAAAATATTAATCTTGCCTGACAAATTTTACTCGACTGGCAGCGAAATCAGAGATACATTTTGTAATAAAATTGTATGATAATCACACGTTATTTACAATAAATATGCCGTCAAAATATGTGTATGTTTTAATCGCGTCCATCATACTAAATACTACAAAGGATACGAGGAAATAGAACATGGGGTGTGTGATTTACTATCAGTGTCAAATGACTAAAATGTTGATAAGAGGCGTCATCCTATAGATTAAATTAAACACAACAATCAATTATTGTTAACTGCAATATTTGAACTCGATGTTTAGTTTGTGATATCGAATATAAAGCTAATAGTTGATAGATATGATACACTATTAGTTGATATACTACACATAATAGTATATGAAAATTTAAGTGAGATCATGCTAATTTTTTCGGTGTCAAGTAGAATTGAATTAGTAATAATTTGCTGGAGTTTGGCCAATAATTGATAATGAAAAAAGTGTATGATAAATATATAAAAACTATTTAAATTATAAAAATGAGTGTCCTACTTCTTTTTATTGAATTGAACATCACATTGAATTAACAAAATACTGTTAAGCCTTGTAATTCAATTTTTCAAAATTTTTTGAATAATTTCGACATATGATATTTGTCAATTAATAGATGGCAAATAATTGTATCGTTATTTATAGACGTTCAAAGATTCTTGAAAGAGGGGCTCGAGATCCCTTGAGAGTAAAAAGAAAAAACAACTAATTGTTGAAAGTGTGATACAACTTTTTTTTGTTGAAATGGGTGGTGCTATTGGTGATAAGAGACTACGAAGTGCAACATGTCCCAGCCCCCCCCCCCCCCAGGACCGGTTGAAAAAACTTTATAACAAAATAGAAAATATCTAATTACCTGAGTCCCTCAACATGAGGCTCATACTGTTTACCGTAGGTGGTTTTGTATGACTCCCATTCGTTGTCAAGGAAACTGTTGAGCGCTAACGATGTTGCCAAAAGGCATGCGAATACTGCTGCACGGATCATCTGAAACCATTCAAGAGTATATAATGTTTAAGAGACTTTCAGATAAAAAAGAAAACTTATGAAAAAACTGTATTTAAAGATATACTATGCTCAATTTTGATGTTTAAAAATATTGATAACTACTGCACATCATCTTTGTAAATATAAAATAAACATGATTCGGCTCCATTCAAAGTAGATATGTTATGTTTTAAACTCTATACACTATTAGTGGTCACAATATAAATATATAGTGTCATTAAAAATACTGGCAGTTTTTTTTAAAGAAAATAGCAACTTCATGTGACCTTTAATTTGGAATACAGCTATGTACACTCAAATTTTACTCAAATAAAAGACATTCAGTAAGGATTTCATGAATTTCAATAAATTTCTGTGATAAGAATATTGTACTCAAAGATGAGCATAGTATATATGAAAAGAACCAAAAGCGTGTGGCTGAATTTCATGTTTCTGTTGAAGTGATTTAAAATACTTTATTTTTCTACATTTAATGATCTTAAGTGATTGCGTAGATTATGTTTCTGAGACGAAAGAAGTCGTTTGTATTTTAAGCAATTCCTTTACAAGAACTAAAAGATAATATAAGTGATATTCAAGATCGTCACTTTAATCTATAATTAAAATTACAGAATAAAAATAATGATAATGTAATGGCACAACTACTCAAGAAATATATCCTTCATGTAAAATAGATTAAAATAAGCGCCAAAAAACTTCTCAAATTATTTACCGCAAAGGGCTTAATCTAATGTTGCTAGAACGTGTTTCCCAACCCTATTGCTTTTTGTTATATACGTATCATTTGTATAACATTTGACATGTATTTGGTGCAATAAAATATGTTTAAACAATAAAAAAAAAGCGTAAGAAATAGAAAATTAAGTATATCTTAAAATATATGTTTATGATTTAATTGTTTATGCTTTAATTTACATCTAACAAAAAAGTATTTTGACCGATTTCTATGACTTGATTTTACTATATTACACATCTTCCTCCAGTGATCGAAGGAAATGATTAAAGTCGATTTTGATTTTTTTTTTTTTTGCGCTTGCAATAAATGATACAGTGATCGGTCGGACGTTAAAAGTGCTTGTATTCACACCAGGTGCGTAACTAGGCGTACTCCTGCACACTATAGTCCGTGCACATTAAATTGTCTACACTTGCATCAAATAAAACAGTGAGTTTCCTTCTACGCTGTTTATTTAAAGGCACATTATGCTTCAAAAAAGAATATATATTTCCTTCTGTCAAAAGGGCAAATAATATTTTCATAATGTTTAAAAATATGTTTAATGCTTATCACGAGAAGATATTAGTGCTAAATGTGAAATTATTGGTAACAAAAGTAGCAAAAAGTATACAAAGTTTACAAGTAGTATTTTGACTTCCATACAAAATACTAATTAAATCACTAAAACTGTACTTATTACCAAAAAAGCAACAGGTCAGATAATTGGCCAATGAGTATATTTTTGGAATATATAACCACAAATCAAACATAAAAAGCTTTTGAAAATTTCAATATAAATTCAAGCATTTCTTAGGCATATTCGGCCTTTAAAACTGTAAGAGTCTATATAAAAGAAACCAGACCTTAAATAAATGATAAGCAACGAAATTTTATAATTTTAGTCCCTTTAAAACAAAATGAAACTCTTACTTTTTATATCTGATGTCTTTAGTTCCACCTTCACTAGTGAAGAGCGGTTGTTAAGACATCATATTTATATGTTTTGAGTTGTCCCCGAAAAAAACAGAACCCGTGATAATTTCATTATCACGCGAGACTTCAGTGGTCATGTGACCTGGTGATCAAAAACATCACATTGTTTCCAATCGGTCATGCGCAAAATAAGATAATAAATATATGGAAGGTCATGCTGTACTGTAACGAACCGAGATTACAACTATATTTGAAAATAATCTATTTGTGTGCTACAAAATAAAATTAAAGAAGGACAGATATTATGGTAGCCAAGAAACTGTGTGTTTTTTTTTCTTCTAATATATATTTGTCAAGACCGTAGGATATAAACAAAACAATAATCATATAAGATAATTCCCAAAATGTAATGTACGGGCCAAAAGAAAAGTAAAACAAAACAAACATAAAATGTATATAAAGTATTTGGCGTCAGTTCGAGCTTGATTTTAGAATTGAACCCAGGTTTAAGATCTACTGTGGAGAGCTTTCCAATAATAATAATCGTCGATTGCTTTCCTTTGACACTCAAGGCTGAGCTCTGTCCCGAGGATTTCCATTGGTCAGTGTACAGTTCCTTGCCAGTTTCTGGCCAATCAAATTCCTGCATGAGACTTTCAGACCTGATTACGGGCTGTGAAAATTTCTTTGGAACTTCAAACCAAGGTTTTTAATGTGTTTACTGTTAAAACAATATTTTATAATTGCACGACCTTATAATTGGCACAGAATGCAGTTTAATCGATAGAATTCCTGAGATTCCAGATATATCGCTCAGAAAAAAAGTTTTATAACTTCAAGGTCTTGTTTGTCCTGTATGCGGGCTAAAGATTGGTTCTATTTAAACCTTGGTAATCTTTGTATACAGGGTAGAGTAGATATATCTCAACTTAACTATATTATAACTACTTATAGTTATCTTTAGTTTTAGCTTTAATGTCCTGTAATTAAGAATACTTAGTGCGTGTATTAGGCACCGGTCATATATATAAGAAATCTCTCTAGTGATGTCCCTATTTAGAAATAAGTAGGTCTTAAAAATGAAGAAAACTCGGTCAGGTACATCTATCTTATATAAAATGAAACCACGCAGTAATGTGGCGACTGAACTAACTTGTTCAGCACTAGTAGCACTGTAGTAGCACTAGTTGCATGGGTAACTCTGCTGCTCCTTGCGTTAAATTACTCAGCTGGATCTCGTTATAAACAAGTCAATAATCTTTAAAACCAATAATCATATACATTTGTACTTTTTAGTTATAATAATTGTTGAGATCAATACTGAATTCTGTTGGACGAGTAATCAGCTGTTAAACCTATATTGGACGGGGCGCTAACTGAGTCGACTATAGGTTTTGTAGCTGTATACGAGTCCAATAGAATCAGTATTTTTCTCACAAATGATTATGATCTCTTTATTTCATATTTTGACATTTTGACAATACTTTGACGTTGAAAATGAAAATGAGTCTAAGTGGAGTACTACATGCATTTGATATAGATATTTTGGACTTTTAAACTGAAAACGAGGCTAAATGGGGTATGATGTGAATTTGATATAGATGTCTGTACTACGGAACTGGAAACGAGGCAATATGGTGTGTGATATGGATTTGATATGGATGTCATGTACTCTGGAAATGGAAACGAGGCAATATTGATAAGATTGGATCCGATAATTTGATTTATATTGGAACTTAGAGTAGTTCTAACGCTGAAAGTCCAATGGTTATATTGTATAAGGTGTAAAATAAAGAGAATATATTCGTTAATGTCGAGAAATACTAATTAAAGGGCTGAACCTCAATGACACTCGATTTCTTTATCATCTTAATTGCGAGATGCACACAAGTGGTTTTCTTTGTTCACACCAGCAAACTTGATAATTTATGTGGACAAAGTCTAAAGCAGATGCAACTAAACCTTGCGTGACATGGTTTCAATCATATCATGTTTAAAATATTCCCGACGTCAAACCGGAATACTTCCAATCGAGTCTCACTTAGGGAGCACGCTTTTGGACTGGTTGAATCATGCACTGAATGTTTATATCTTCGTGCAAACGCCGGTCACAAAATTTGATTTCAAACTACCAATTTAATTCGTGCACTTGATCAAGCAAATATTTTAGGTTAAGGTGATTTCAGCTGAAGGGACCTGCAGCCGAAAATTTAACCTAGGTCCAGTCTGAATAAAAAAGCGTATATAGTGGTAGTGACCCGTTATAAAATCGGTGAAGAGTTTTTTTTATATAAACCTTCAAAGCAGCACGCTTACAGATTCATGTCAATATTGCATGAGAATTCTAGAAATGTATTTAAAAGTAAAATATTGTGAGGTGAACAAATAAAGTAATTTACATATTGCAATCGGCACTTACAATCCAAGAAAATTACCAAAAAGTGGTCAACATATGCAAAAACAGCCCTTACTGCGTTAGTAACGCAGTAGAAATATGGTGATAAAATACCGCAAAATCAGTCTTAAACCGCACATAACATGTAAAATTTAACTTGGATCTTGAATGTTTTTACCTTTCTTAAAATGTTAGTACATTTTTCTCAATATTGATTTTCTTGAAATATTTTGGCTCATCTGGAGGCGTGCACCTTTAAAGAAGAAAATGAGATACTTTATTTTGTAACAAATTACATCAACCCCGTCACAAGGGCATTTCGTATCATATGCTAATAAATAGAACAATTGAGCACTCTACTTTTCTAATCTTACACATGTCCCAGTTTTCGGATAGTTATTTGACAGTTTTGTACTCGTTGCTAGCTAAGACTTGTTGAAAAAGTTCCTTCATGGTTCCTGTTCTATTTCTCAATCTATGGACACAATCTATTGACACATCTTGGAGATGAACACTTTGAATTATGTAGTTAATCATCATCATCGTCATCGTCATCATCATCATCATCATCATCAACAACAACAACGACGACCACAATAACGACATCATCATCAAGATCATCATAATAAGAATAATACATCATCATTGTCATCATTGTCATCATTATCATCATCATCATTATCATCAACAACAACAGCATTATCAATATCAACATTTTAAGAATAGGACATCATTACCATCCATAACAACATTATACATTAAAGTTCAATGATTAATACTTAAGGCTAGCATTTCACTGTATATTGCAGGAATGCCTACGGATTGAAAACACGGCATGGCAATCAAAATATGTAGAGCTTGCATAAACAGACAGTTATCTTTAATGAAATAATATTGGTCGATTAATACGAGTATAACTAAAATTATAAGGCTGTTATAATAATAACTTCCAAATGAAATGCTAGTTGGTTTCAGTAAAACCTAATTTGCACGTATGCAGTTTGCTGCAGTTTAATTCTAAATGTTTTGGCTAGTCTTCCGGTCGGTGGACCAGACAGTCAGCCTGTCCATCTACCCGTCCGTCAATCCGCCTGTTTGCACGTCGTTTAGCTTGCTAGACAGCCAGTCAACCAGAGCAGGGAGCCAGTCAATATCTTACAATAAATATCCACTCTCACTTCTTTGTTATATGATATAGAATCAAAGCTTTAATAAAAGAATGATTATAGAAAGTTTGGTTTAAACAATATTCATTTCTTCATCAATATTTACAGACACAATTACAATATATAAATTGTATTCAGGATTGAGTAGAAAGCTTGCAGCTTATATGAAACTTTCTCCTGAATATAGAACATTTTGATATGCTTTCCTTGGTGACTGATTCATCTATAAATTGAAATATATTTGAGTCCAACGGGATTACCATGGTACGATTCTATGATGTCAAAATTGACCTCTATAGAGACCCACCAAAAATCTATAGAAACTAAGCTTTCAAAATTAGATAAACTTGAATCTGAAATGTGTAAAATATCGCAGAAAATCTCGTCAGTTGAAACACGTGTATTATCACTTGAAACAAAAGTAACTGATACCAATAGTCGTCTCACGGAAATGGAGGTAAGCAGAAATTTTGATACGCAGGTATGTGATGAGTTGAGCAATAAACACAAACAACTTGAAAAACTCTTGAAAGCCGAAAAAGATGAAAATGCTGCACTGGCTAAAACTGTTGAAAAATTAAAATTAGAGAATAAAAGTATGTCTGATGATATAGTAGATGTTACATCTAGGCTTATGAGGGATAACCTCCTTTTCTTTAATTTTGACGAGGAAAAGTCACGTGATGATCGCAGAACGGAGGACTGTAAAATCAAAATTATCAATTTTTGTACATCTAAGCTCGGTATTAATGATGCTGAAATTAGATTCAAAATCGACCGAGCCCATCGAATTGGAAAATTTGACCCTAAAAATCTCGGCCGATAGTCGTGAAGTTTTAATTATTATGGCGACAAAATGGAAGTAAAACAGAAAGCGCGGGATAATCTTGATGGCAAACAATATCGCATAAGTGACCAATTCCCGAAAGCTATACAAGAACGACGGAAAATACTTATTCCCTACCTAATTCAAGCTAGGCAAAATAATAAAGAGGCAGTTCTTTCATATGACACTCTATACATCGAGAATCGCGCCTACACGGCTGACAGCCTACCGCCAGGTCCAGCACCGACACAAGCGCCACGGTGGCAGCAAGGCAAACACGTGAATATGCGCACCGTGGACAACAGTAAGAGGGACTCAAGCCCGCGAGCGTCGTCTGTCATACAGAATGCTCGCCGTGAAGCGGATATGCAGCCGGACGAGCAAGCTATGACCCATGAATAGGAAGCAGATGAGAAGCAGCTAAAATTTCTTCTTTGGAATGTGCAAGGAATTTGTAAAAAACTGAATGATAGTGACTTTATCAATTTTCTAAACAAATATGACATTATCATTACTACTGAAACCTGGAATTCTAAAATATCAAATATTAGCATAGATCACTTTGAAAGTTTTTCGTGTCCGCGGCCTAAATATAAATAAAAGGGCAAAGCGTTACAGCGGTGGTATAATTATATTTTATAAAGAGAAACTATCAGGTCATATTGAGTTAATGAGCTTAAACGATAAAGGTGTGATATGGTTTAAACTGAAAAAATCTTATTTTGGTACTTTGAATGACATTTATGTTTGTAGTTGTT